GGGGGGGTGTGGGGGGGGGGGGGGGGGGGGGGGGGGGCAGCTGAGATCTCAGCATTCCTAGCATTATAGGAATCGGCATGGACGTTGGTACGAGCATCGGAGGAAAAGGAACGGTACGACAAGGAAGACGGACAGAGCCAGTTTGTCGGTAAGAGTCGAATAGATGGTAGAAGGTTGGAGCGGGACTGAGATGAAAAAGAAATGGAAGATGGGGACGATAGTGGTGACGTGGTGACAGAGAAGGCTGAGAAGGATGGCGGTTCGCCTCCTGGTTGGAAAAAGAAAAACGAGCCGCCAGAGAAAGAGGAAAACTGGTTGGTAGAAAGAGAGAGAGAGAGAGAGAGCGCTATACGATCAGGCGGTGGTTGAGGTGGTGGTTGAGGTGGTGGTCGTGGTGACGGTGGTGGGAGGACGCAACGTGGAAGGAGACCACGACGAAGAGGACAGAAGGAAGAGAAGAATCGGTAGAATCGGAGAGCGAAAGAACCAGTGGGGGTAATAATAAATCGTTCACCTGAACCGCATGCTTGCCCCGTTCACGATGCAGTCGTGCGGGAAGAGGGCAGCGTTCGTTTAGACATCCGCGCGTAGTCTTTCGAGCGACCTCGTAGGGATCGCTTCGTTTCGCATCGCATCGCATCGTATCGTATCGCATCGCATCGTTCCCTTCGATCTCGAGACCCTTCTGCATACTCGCGTCGTTCGCAGTGGCACTTTCAAATTCCGTCGAGTCGCCAGTGTTCGACCGTCTCGTTGTGAACGGCTGCAAACGCGAATGCAGCCGTTATCCGTGTTAGTTGGTAATTCGGTCGAGCGTTTTTCCGTTCCGTTGCTTTACGGAACGGCTGTTTAAATTTTGTACGAGTTTCAACGGAACAAGAAACTATCCAACGCGAGCGAGCCAAAGCCCTTCGACGGATCGGTTTTTGGAGTCGGTTTCGATCGACGCGAGTTCCGATAGACTGTGCGGAGAAAGCCGATACTTGCGAAGGAGATAACTTGCAAACCGACGGATAGCTCGTTGCTCGTTGCTCGTTTCTCCGGTGAGCAGATTGCGCGCGCTCGGTGTCGTTGTCGCGTTCTCGTCGGATCGCCGCGCCGGTGGCACACTTGACGCTTCGAAAGGAGAATAGACTTTCTCCTTCTCACCGATCCTCGTGCCGCGAACCACCGCGAACCACCGCAAACAGCCGCGCGTTGCGTTGCGTTGCGTTGCGTTGCGTTGCGTTGCGCTGCTTTGCTTTGCGGCCCGTTCGCGCGCCGCGGAGGGAAGCGTCTTCGAAGTCTCCGCGGTCTCTTTATCGGCGGGCATCGACGACGATAACCATCGTCGAGACGATCGAAACCGACGTTTACGGTGGTGACGGTGACGGCGACGGCGACAGCAACAGCAACAGCAACAGCAACAGCGACGGCGACGGTAACGGTGACTGTGACGGTGACGGTGACGAGGGCAACGAGAAGGAGGAGGAAAAGGAGAAGGGGGAGAAGCAGGACGATGATCAAGGTCTGATCGACGAGAAGAAGAAGTGGCCGGACGTATTAAAATTCTAAACGTTGCCGCGTGTTCGGAGAGTCCTCCGAACGGCTCGAAATCGAAAGAACTCTGAGACTACTGGCCGCAGGAAAACTCGGGGAGTCGCGCGTAAACCGAACAAGTCGAATAATCCGAATAATTCGAATAAATCGGGAGACGGAGCGAGGCTCGGTCGGAGAAGGAGGTAGCCGCGAAGAGAGCGATAAAGAAGGAAGAAGGGAGGTCAAGGAGATCGAAGAGAGAAGGAAAGAGGGAGTAGAAGAAGCGCGCGAGGTCGTTTAAACGCAAGAAGAAGACGCACGCGCCTGCGAGGAAGGAGAAAGGAGAAACGAGAGACGAGAGACGAGGGAGAGCCGAGAATTCGTCGACGCGTGTACGCGGTGACCAATCAAGATGAGAGTACACCGTGGGATTTGCGCGAAATTGCAAGGAGGATTTCTCAGGCGATGGTGTAAGTAAACGACGAAACGGTGGCACGGTGAAACGGAGGCGATCGCCGCAACGGTGTTACGGTGTTACATCGGGTCTCTCCGGTGCGTTCTCTTCTCGCGTTTCGTCCCGTCTCGTCCCGTCCCGTCAACGTGCTACGTTGTATCGTTCGAGGGAAGGCTAGTTAACGAGATCGTTAACGCGGTTACCGGCGCCACAACCGTCACGCTCGATGCGCTCTTAATTCGATTCGATGAACGTGTCGTTTCGTATGCCTGCTCAATGAGTCACCGCGTCGCATCGCGTCGCGTAGCTACGTTTCGTCGCGCACCGTCGCCGCACCGCTCGAAATTGCTCGACACCAACCAGGTATCCTCTCGGTATCTTCGGTAACGGTACGAGCGACCGAAGAGCTTATCCGCGCGCGTCAAAATCGCGAGCAATCGTCGTAAACCGGGCTCTTTCTTACTTTCACTTCGAGTTCGCGAGCGCGAACGCGATCGTTAACGAGAACGCGAGCGGGAAACTCGAATGGAAACGGCATCGTTCGCTTCGTATCGCATCGCATCGCATCGCATCGAATCGCATCGCATCGCATCGAATCGCATCGCATCGCATAGCATCGCGTCGCATCGCAGATGTCGCAGAAACTGCGAGGCGGTCGGTTCGATAGGCGCACGCAGCAGTCGAGGACGAAAAAATGATCGAATCGAGGCGAACGAATGCAAAAAGTAGTTTTGCGTGTCGCGACTAAATGACCGCGACGCTGTTAGAGTCCTGGGACGAGTCGACGTTACATGGTCGTCCGTAATGGTACTGCCCGCGGGTATTATTCGTGCGTCAGAAAGCGAACTTTGATACCATTACGAGGAACGATCGAGCGGGAAGATACTTGCTATTCCGGGTCTATTATTGGGTTTTTTTCTGTCGTTGATCGGTTCGTTATGCAACTTTTCGTCGCCGTCTCGCTTCGAACAGGTAGGAACAGGAACTCGCGGAGCAGCGAGATTGCAACGTAACACTGCTCTCCGATTCCAATCCTCGATGCGTAGGATCGCGACGATCGAGCCGAGTCCGGTTTCATTGGAAAACCTCGACAGCGATAAACCTAACAGTCGCCCAGGCCTGGTCCAAGCAGAACTCGGAGCGTAGAGCGTGGAACGTGGAACGTGGAAGACGAGAGACCGGCACGGCGGCGAGGCGTTTACCAGATTGGAAAAGTAGCGGCCAAATTATTGGACGATCAAAGGCTCGGATGGACTCGAGCTCGAGGCCGTCCGATCTGGTTTGCACACGCCGACGTTCCGACCGTGTGGAGTCGCTTCGTTTGCTAGGCGCGAAACCTTCCGAGTAAGAGCAGGAAGCGTAGCCTTATATAATAGCGAGTAATTGCCGACAAGTACGCGTAGGTAGGTGTAGACGTAGGTTCGGCTTTCGGGATCGAAGCTCGCGCAGCAACGTCGTCGTTTCGTTTTCGTCGCCGATCCGTCCTTCGCTCTTGTCGGCGATCGCGATCGTTCGTCGATCGAACCTCGCCGAGCGCCGGATCGGGAAATGTAGACTGCAAAAAGGGAAACGAGGACGCGACGAGATGTCAGAATCGCCTCTTTCCGTGATGCAACGCGCGAGCGATTCCTTGCTCGCTGGGACACGCGTCGCGCGAGTCGCGGGTCGCGGGTCGCGCTTCGAGCCAGTTGCGTCGTCGTCTTCGTCGTTCTACGCGCGTACCTTCCATCGCGACCACTCGTCCGTCCGATCCGGCGAACGTTCGATCGCATTCCTTTCGAGTCGATGTCGGCGACGGCGAGCAGGAGCTACCTAGACCGCGCCGCACCTCGCGGACCGAGCGGCCGAGGAAACGGGAGCGTATTCGTATTATATTATACATCGTATAATACGAATATATATATATTTATTTATTATTATATATATATATATATATATTTCCCGTTTCCCGTTTCCCGTGCCTCGTTTCCCATTTCTCGTTGCGAAAAAACTCCAAGTTGGCCGGGTCGTTGCGCGCATCTTGCCCCGAGATACGCGCGAATCGTACGCGCCTAGACGCGTGCACGCATAGAAGTAGAAGGTAGCAACGAGACGGAACGGCCGACTCGATCTTTCGCCGAACGGTTCGCTCGGTGGTGTTGCGCTTTCACCTGTTAGGTGCGTACGCTTAGGTTCTTCCGTACGCGGAGCAGCGATCGGTAATTCGTTGTAAAGACCGAGCTTCGTTCGAGTCGCGGTTCTAAGAAAGTAAGAGCGATTTCGGTAAAAACCGACGGTTAAACCGACCGGTGTACGCGAACGAACGGTCGGCTCGGACGCGCGTACGATACATGGATAATTCAGGTTCGCTTCCTCGTTTCAGCGCGTTGAAAACCGCGTTAAGAACGCGGGCCGAGCAGTCGAGCAAACGAGAAAACGAGAAAACGAGCAACGGCGGCGCAGCAGGCGATTCGTCGAGATATCGTGACTGTGAGAATAGGAACGCGTCGAAAGCGAGCCTCTCGCTCTGGTTTTCTGCGTAAAACTATCAAGAGTTTCTTTCGTCTTGGCAGTAGCCGCGCAGTCGTTGCCGTCTCGTGCCAAACAATTTCCCTCGATCGTGTACAACGACGTGACGGCGACGACGGCCCGTCGAATCCTCGTCCGCTCCTTTCCATGCGAAACACTGCCCATCGAATGGTCGTGTCAAGGACAAAGAGCACGCGCCGTCGCGTCTTTCGGTCCTTCGTCCGGGCCCTGCTCTTCACGGGCTCCGCGCTTCTTCGGATCTCTCGGCGACGGTTCCCATCGCCGCGACGAGCCGTGGGAATTTTCCCGTTCGCGCAACAATCGTTTAGAAATTCGATTTCGATCGAGATCGACGATCCGCTCGACCCGTTCTTTTCGACTTTACCCTCGCCCCGCGTTCCGAGAGAGCGCGAGTCAATGAAAATATAGCGCGCGTAAAACCGAGGGTTTAGCCGTTTTATTGGATCACCGAGGATACGACGTTCCCGTCCGAGGCGTGGCGGTGCGTGGCCGTGCGTGGCGGTGCGTGGCGGTGCGTGGCGACGCGAAACGCGAAACGCGAGGCGCGTGGCGATGCGTGCGAGCACGCGGAAAAATCTGTAAAAACGCGTCGAGAGCGCTCGAATGCCCGATCGGTTACCCACCGGTTACAAACTGGGTTATCCGAGCGCCGCGACCTACCAAAATCGAATGTTACAGCGAATTCGCAAATCGCAAATTCGCGTACTCTGCAAACACGATCGGGAATTTTCGCGCCGACCGACGCCGCGGCGCGGCTCGCGTCGCTTCGCATTCCTTTCGACACCTTCGACAACTTGGACACGATCGAATCGGATCGATCGGGGTATCCGTTTCGTAATCCCAGTCGCGGTCGCTTCGACGAATTTCTGTCGCGCGAATCGATGCCGAACGCAACGACGACGATGCGGCGCCGCGCGCGATGTCACGCCATGCCACGGTACGCCACGCTACGCCGCGAGAACGCGAGCCGAGCGTTTGAGTTTACGGCCAAAAAACAAAGTCGTTCGGTTAGTTTGTGCACGCGTCGCGTTCGATGGAAAGTACTGGTCTCTCGAGGTCGCGACACCGGCTCGAAGGATTTTGTAAGGTCGGAGGCGTGACGTCCACGAGCGGACAAGTCGCGTCGCGCATTCTCGATCGCCGTCGCCATCGAGCACGCGCCCGTACTCGCGCGATTCTTACTCTCGATAATCCGAGGAAAATTCCTGGAGTAGGAGTTCTCGATCGATCGGACGCGGATTCCTGATTTCTGATCGCGTCTCGGATCGAGGCGCCGCGACGCGACGCGACGCGACGCACGACCAGATCCGATCGTTCGAGGAAGCCTACGATCGAAGCGATCGAGTCATCGTTTTTCAAAAGAATCGGAAATACGGAAGCCGGGATAGGCGCGGCGATGCGACCAAGCGGGAAAAAGTAGGACCGCCCGTTTCGAAGGCCGGCTCGCGCGGTGGCACGGTGTCGCGTACGTGCCTTTTCGTCTACGTGACTAAAAATTTAACCGGTCGATCGCCGCTGCGATCGTGGTCGCACCGCGAGCCGCGAGCCGCGAGCCGGCAGCCGCGAACGCACTGGCATGCTCGCGACATCGCACGGTTGGTTGGCCGAGCAAAACTTCGAGGTATCGACGGCTCGCGATCGTCTTTCGAGGTCTCGAGAACCTCGAAAGCGACGTTTCGCAAAGCACGAGCGTCGCGCGACGCGTCCTGCGAAATTTCGTCGTCTCCCAAGACCGATCGAAACCGACGCGAACACGTTGGCAGTCCGAACATGGCCGGTAAGAAACGGATCGGTCGAGAACAGCGAATTCGAAGACTCGTCGCGCCCAGTTGCGACGATCTCCGGCAAAACCGAAAATCGATGACCAAAAATCGTTGACGCGACTCGACGGCGGACCCGCGAACGAGCGGGGCTCGCTCGACGGGATAGAAAGCAAAGCCGATCTCGGGACGAGCGCGAGCATGGGCGTTGCGGACGTTGCAGAGGTTGCGGGCGCGGGACGACCACTTTCTTTTCTTGGTTTCTTGGTTTCTTGGTTCCTCGATTCGCGATCGGTGTCGACGGACTCGAATCTCTGCGATTCCTCGCGACTTCCGCGGGTGCGACGACGACGACGACGACGACGACGATCAATTTCCATTCGATTCGATTCGATTGCAGGGGCTGCGGTGGCCGTGGGCGCTCTGCTGATCATCGCGGCGGCGATCTTGGCGGCGGTGTTTCCGAAACTGGTCGACGTCCTGCTCAACAGGGAGATCGCGTTGCGCGAGGGTGGCCGCACCTTCAAATGGTGGAAGGAACCGCCGGTGTCTCCTCAGCTGAGCATCTACATCTACAACATGACGAACGCCGATGAGTTTTTGAACGACGGGGAGAAACCGACGCTGATGGAGCTCGGTCCCTACGTGTACGTGCAACAATGGGAAAAGGTCGAGGTTAAATTCAACGACAACGACACCGTGTCGTACAAAGTGAAGAAACAGTTCGTCTTTTCGCCGGTAAGCACTCGATTTCGATCGCGCGTCGCGCGTACGCGTTACGCGTATCTCGCTCGCCGTCGCCTTCCTGGATCGCGCTCGAACGCCGCTCCGTTTCCGCGTAAACGAACGTCGAGACGACGATCGGAGCAAACGGGAAACGAAAAGGGAATAGGGAACGGGGAACAGGGAAAAGGGAAAAGGGGGAAGAGAACGGAAAATGGTGGCGATAGTGGTGGTAGAGCGGCAGCCGAGAGGAAGGGCGGCGTGGTTTCTCGTAAAAGTTCTCGAGAGTAAGTCGGGTCGCGGGGTATGACGCAACGGTGCTGCTAGGTAACGATAGTCGGGTTGAGTAAGATCGTAATAGCGGAGCAACGCGCTTCCGTGAATTAAAAGCAAAAGCAAAAGCAAGCGTGCGGCCAACGTTTGGCCAACGTGGCACGTTTCTCCGAGAACACGCGCGACACCTCGATTCTCACGATCGTCGGTATTGTTCGGAAGAACAATGCGGACTCGCGCGAACAATATCGCTCGTTCGCATCGATAACGGTCGACGCGCGTTCTCTTCGCGTTTTCGAAACAGCGAAGCGGCGACGCGGGAGCGAACGCTCCTCTCGAATCGGGATCGGAGAATGAAAAGGGTTCGCGCCGCTCGATCGTTTCAGGAAAAATCGATCGGCACGGAGGAGGACTTGGTGGTGGTGCCGAACGTGCCGATGCTCTCGGCGACCAGTCAATCGAAGCACGCGGCCCGTTTCCTGCGACTGGCGATGGCCTCGATCATGGACATCCTGCGGATAAAGCCGTTCGTCGAGGTGTCGATCGGGCAGCTGCTCTGGGGCTACGACGACCCGTTGCTCAAGCTGGCCAAGGATGTCGTGCCGAAGGAGCAGAAGCTGCCTTACGACCAGTTCGGGCTGATGTACGGCAAGAACGCGACGATGCCCGATTGGTTCACCATCTTCACCGGGCAAGGGGACATCTCCAAGTACGGGGTTCTCGACAAGTGGAACGGAAAGAGCAGCCTGGGTCACTGGACCACGCCGGAGTGCGACAGCGTCGCCGGCAGCGACGGCAGCATCTTCCCTCCGCGCATCACCAAGCAAACGGTCCTCAAGATCTTCGACAAGGATCTCTGTCGGGCCCTGCCTCTGGTCTACAAGGTGAGACGCGATCCGTGGCGAAACCGCCCGTATATAAACTCTGAACGAATCGTTCCGTTTCGCAGGAGGAGGTGACCACCGCCGGCGGAATTCCCGGCTACAGATTCGTCCCGTCCCAGGACGCGTTCGGATCCGCCGGCAGAGTAGAATCGCAGCGATGCTTCTGCCCGGCGGGGCCGCCGTGCGCGCCCGAGGGCACCTTCAACGCGTCCCTTTGCCAATACGAGTCGCCGGTTCTCCTCAGCTTCCCGCACTTTTATCTCGGTAAGGCCCCTCGCTCGCGGACTTTTCTCGCGCTCCTTTCCCGCCGTTTTCCCATCGTTCTCCCACCGTTTTCCCACCGTTTTCCCACCGTTTTCTCAGCGTTTCAACGCGTTTCCACGCGCGACCATTGTTCCAGCCGATCCAGCGCTGCGCGAAGCCGTAAACGGGATATCGCCGCCGGTCGAAGAGAACCATCAGTTCTACATCGACGTGCAGCCGATGATGGGCACCTCGCTGAGAGCGAAGGCGAGGGTTCAGATCAATCTGGCGGTCAGTCAGGTGCGAGACATCAAGCAGGTCGCCACGTTTCCCGACATCGTTTTCCCCATCATGTGGTTCGAGGACGCAAGTATCGTTTCGAGCAGAACGGATTCCCGGAGATTTCCCGAAAATGTTGCGCCCGCGCTCACGTACATCGTTTCCGTGTTTCCAGGGCATCGACGAGCTCCCCGAGGAGATGCGGAGCCTGATGAAGATGGCGGTGGACGCGCCGCCGATCGCTCGATCGGCCGTCTCCGGAGCGCTCGCGGCTATCGGCGCGGTCGTTTTAATCGGCGCGCTCGTCTGCCTGGCGCGTGCCGCGAAACGTCAAGAGAAACTTCATCTGAGCAATCCGTTACCATCGAACGCCAGCGCCGGTAAAACCGGTCAGCTGAATCCGGCTTTCCAGAATTCCGCCGGTTCCAAGTAGATCGACTCGCTAGACTCTGTCGACTCGGTTCGAACTCGGTTCCTCGACTTCCCCCCGACACCGGATTGATTATTCGCAGATCATTCTCGAATCCCGACGCACGACCAGACGCTCGATCCTCGATTTCTCTCTCTCTCTCTCTCTCTCTCTCTCNCTTTCCAGAATTCCGCCGGTTCCAAGTAGATCGACTCGCTAGACTCTGTCGACTCGGTTCGAACTCGGTTCCTCGACTTCCCCCCGACACCGGATTGATTATTCGCAGATCATTCTCGAATCCCGACGCACGACCAGACGCTCGATCCTCGATTTCTCTCTCTCTCTCTCTCTCTCTCTNAAGGGCGGCGTGGTTTCTCGTAAAAGTTCTCGAGAGTAAGTCGGGTCGCGGGGTATGACGCAACGGTGCTGCTAGGTAACGATAGTCGGGTTGAGTAAGATCGTAATAGCGGAGCAACGCGCTTCCGTGAATTAAAAGCAAAAGCAAAAGCAAGCGTGCGGCCAACGTTTGGCCAACGTGGCACGTTTCTCCGAGAACACGCGCGACACCTCGATTCTCACGATCGTCGGTATTGTTCGGAAGAACAATGCGGACTCGCGCGAACAATATCGCTCGTTCGCATCGATAACGGTCGACGCGCGTTCTCTTCGCGTTTTCGAAACAGCGAAGCGGCGACGCGGGAGCGAACGCTCCTCTCGAATCGGGATCGGAGAATGAAAAGGGTTCGCGCCGCTCGATCGTTTCAGGAAAAATCGATCGGCACGGAGGAGGACTTGGTGGTGGTGCCGAACGTGCCGATGCTCTCGGCGACCAGTCAATCGAAGCACGCGGCCCGTTTCCTGCGACTGGCGATGGCCTCGATCATGGACATCCTGCGGATAAAGCCGTTCGTCGAGGTGTCGATCGGGCAGCTGCTCTGGGGCTACGACGACCCGTTGCTCAAGCTGGCCAAGGATGTCGTGCCGAAGGAGCAGAAGCTGCCTTACGACCAGTTCGGGCTGATGTACGGCAAGAACGCGACGATGCCCGATTGGTTCACCATCTTCACCGGGCAAGGGGACATCTCCAAGTACGGGGTTCTCGACAAGTGGAACGGAAAGAGCAGCCTGGGTCACTGGACCACGCCGGAGTGCGACAGCGTCGCCGGCAGCGACGGCAGCATCTTCCCTCCGCGCATCACCAAGCAAACGGTCCTCAAGATCTTCGACAAGGATCTCTGTCGGGCCCTGCCTCTGGTCTACAAGGTGAGACGCGATCCGTGGCGAAACCGCCCGTATATAAACTCTGAACGAATCGTTCCGTTTCGCAGGAGGAGGTGACCACCGCCGGCGGAATTCCCGGCTACAGATTCGTCCCGTCCCAGGACGCGTTCGGATCCGCCGGCAGAGTAGAATCGCAGCGATGCTTCTGCCCGGCGGGGCCGCCGTGCGCGCCCGAGGGCACCTTCAACGCGTCCCTTTGCCAATACGAGTCGCCGGTTCTCCTCAGCTTCCCGCACTTTTATCTCGGTAAGGCCCCTCGCTCGCGGACTTTTCTCGCGCTCCTTTCCCGCCGTTTTCCCATCGTTCTCCCACCGTTTTCCCACCGTTTTCCCACCGTTTTCTCAGCGTTTCAACGCGTTTCCACGCGCGACCATTGTTCCAGCCGATCCAGCGCTGCGCGAAGCCGTAAACGGGATATCGCCGCCGGTCGAAGAGAACCATCAGTTCTACATCGACGTGCAGCCGATGATGGGCACCTCGCTGAGAGCGAAGGCGAGGGTTCAGATCAATCTGGCGGTCAGTCAGGTGCGAGACATCAAGCAGGTCGCCACGTTTCCCGACATCGTTTTCCCCATCATGTGGTTCGAGGACGCAAGTATCGTTTCGAGCAGAACGGATTCCCGGAGATTTCCCGAAAATGTTGCGCCCGCGCTCACGTACATCGTTTCCGTGTTTCCAGGGCATCGACGAGCTCCCCGAGGAGATGCGGAGCCTGATGAAGATGGCGGTGGACGCGCCGCCGATCGCTCGATCGGCCGTCTCCGGAGCGCTCGCGGCTATCGGCGCGGTCGTTTTAATCGGCGCGCTCGTCTGCCTGGCGCGTGCCGCGAAACGTCAAGAGAAACTTCATCTGAGCAATCCGTTACCATCGAACGCCAGCGCCGGTAAAACCGGTCAGCTGAATCCGGCTTTCCAGAATTCCGCCGGTTCCAAGTAGATCGACTCGCTAGACTCTGTCGACTCGGTTCGAACTCGGTTCCTCGACTTCCCCCCGACACCGGATTGATTATTCGCAGATCATTCTCGAATCCCGACGCACGACCAGACGCTCGATCCTCGATTTCTCTCTCTCTCTCTCTCTCTCTCTCTTCCTCTCTCTCTCTCTCTCTCTCTCTCTCTCTCTCTCTCTCTCTCTCTCTATCTCCCTCTCACTGTCGATTCGAGACTCGAGACACGCGACGCGAGCGCTCGATACGGTCGAACAAATAAAAACGGTAGAAGCAGAACGAGAAACGGCTCTGCTAGAGAAGAAGAAACGATAAACTCGGGTCGCGTTCGCTTCCAAATGCCCGGCTCGAATTCGAGCCGGTGTCGGTGTCGGTGTTTTGGTGTCGGTGTCGGGATCGGGGTCGCGGGACGGTGACGGTTGTCGGTGACGGTTGTCGGTGTCGGTGTCGGTACGTTGGGATTTAAACGAATAAACGAACAAACGTTCGATCGGAGAAAGGAAGAGAGTGCTAGGCTGCGCCGCTTAACGGTACCTGGTACACGACTCACCGTTTTCAAGAACTGTGCCGTGTTCTCGACGCACCTAATTTACTCGGGTCGAGTAAAAATCGTCCGATCGAAAAGCGAAAAGTAGCAAAAGAGCTCCTCCGTTGATTGCAACTTGTATTATTCTAGAAATACGTGTACGTAGGTGATCGAGGAAGCGATAGAAAAAGGAGAGAAAGAGAGAGAGAGAGGAGAGACTCTCGGAAGGTTGGCGAAAGAACCGTAAAGAAATTCGAATCTGGAACAGGATTCCGGATCGTCGATTCGAATCGGCGGGGCTCGTCGACGCGAGCCGCCTACGAAATCGTTCCGTCCAATGAACGCGTGCGTGCACGCGTAGATAGTAAATAGCAAATAGGAAATACGTATTTTTTTATCAGTTTGTACATACTCGAACAGCGCGCACTCCGCAACGATCGAGCTCCTCCTATCCGTTATTCGTTACCGGTTCGAGTATACGCGCCTATCGTTCTAAACGTCTCGTTGTTTCAGATGGATCGCGGTTAGGTTCATATTCTTAGGTAAAAATTAGTTTTCTACCACTTTGGAGCGCGAGCAGGCAATAAAACTGCGAAATGGTTTTTAAATCGGTCGGATTCGTGTCAATTCGATCGTCGAGCGATTCGGTGGAGACGAATAAATGTTTTATAAGACAGGTACACCGTGCTTGGTTTGCTCTCTCGAATCTTCGAATCTTCGAATCTCGTGCCACGTCCGAACGTCCGAAACTAATCGGAACTAATCGACCGCCGCGTGTTCGCAGATATCCTGCCCCATCGCGCGAGAACTTGTTGCCGTTGAACGCGTTCGGTCGCGATAAATTCGAGAAAAAATAATACAGCAGTTATCTCGTGTCTCGCCGTACGTCGTTCGATGCGACCTCGGTTATCGGATTCGACGGAAGTGGATCGCTCCGACGTTCGCGTTCGCGTTCTCGTTTTGCGCTCGCGTGCGACCGAATCGATCGCGAACGTAAACAACGAAGATGTCGAGATTCTTGCTCGATAAGCGTCGCGCCGTCGTCGCGTTTTGCTACACGCGGGTTCGACGCGATCGATGGAGCATGGAAACGTCTGGGACACCTCGGTCGGTCGGTCGGTCGGTCGGTCGGTCGGTCGGTCGATCGATCGATCGATCGATCGGTTGCTCGGTCGGTCGGTCGATCCCCATCCACGAATCGGAACTCTCTCCTTACCGGAACGAGAAACCGAGCGATCGAGTCTCTTTCGAAGGCTCTTCGATCGCGACCACGGTTCGCCTCGACGTTGGTATCGGAAACGGCGGCGACAATCGATGAAAGGCAAGTATCGAAACGATTCACGTTGCCGCAACGACGTCTTGCCGGATTTTTCTTTGGTCCCTCGACGACTCGAGTTTGATGTCTTGGAGCGGCTCCTCGTCTTTCTTGAACGCGGCGACCAGACCACCGAAGAAGAGCACGACGCCGACCAGACTGCACCACTGAAATCCAGCTTCGATCGCGTTCACGAGATAGTGGCTCCGATAGAGCAGCTGCTTCACGGATTCCGGCATCTCCTCGATCTCGGTGTCCGTCCAGATCACCGGCAAGATCGTTCCGTCTTTCAAACGATCCGCGAACGGCACTCCGACCGCCTTGCGCACCTCCATGTTCAGCTGAATCTTCATTCTGGTGCCCACCGTGACGCCTAATCTCTGAAATTGTTTCGAAATCGATGAAGAACAGCGGCGAGGCGCGACGAGAAAAGTCGAAACGCTCTCTCACCTGGTGGAGATCGATGTAGCTCTCGCGATGCTCTCGCTTCGGCGACAAACCCTCGATCTCTTCGAACAGAGACTCGTCCGCCGCGTAAAAGTGAGGAAACGAGATCAGCAGCGGAGTGCCGAATCTGCAGCTGGAAACGTTGAAGGTCCCGGCCGGTGGACATCTTCTCGAGTCGAGATCGTTCGGATCCTTTTGGCAATAGCAGCTGTTCTCGTCGGGCGTCGTCGTGAAAACGTTGCTCGCCAGTTGGAACCTGGCAACGACAGCGATACAACGACGAGGGCCGCTGGGAAACGGAGGGAAAACGATTTCGCTTACCTATACGTGGGAATGCCGTGGGCATAGTCGCGGCGTTCGAATTCGAACGGTATACGCCGGCAAACGTCTTTCGCGTACACCTGGAGCGTGGCGTTGTACGGCATTTCGATCCAATGAGGCGGGAACATGCTGCCGTCGGTGCCGAACACGCGGTCGCATTTCTCGTCCCCCCAAACCTTGCGATCCTGCGCTCCGTTCACTCGCTCGATCAGTCCGATGTGTTCGAGATCTTCGACTCCGGTGCGCATCGTGATCCGATCCTCGTTTACGCCGCTCCTCTGAAAAATCGCGACGATCGGTTAACATCGGGTTTAGGGTCGCTTACGAATCGCTTACGAATCGCTTACGAATCGATCCGATGCGATTCGGAGATCTATTTGCCGCGAATCGTTTTCTTGGCCCATGATCTCTCCGCGACCTCAGAGACCTTGCAGTCACGCGCGCCTGTCGATCCATTGATCGCGATCGGTGGAACGTTTCGCGGTGTTTCGAGCGATCGTTGCAACGAATCATTCGTGCGAAAAAGAAAGAGAAAGAAGGAGAGAGAGAGAGAGAGAGAGAGAGAGATGGTCGCATAATACGTACAAATGCGAGAAGCCCAAATTTCTCGAAAGGAATGTTGACTTTGAGCGACGAGTAAGGCTTGATCACGCGAAAGAGTTCGTCCTCGTAGCCCCAAAGGAATTCGCCGACCGGCAACTCGAGGAACAGCTTGGAACGCAGGCCGGAAAGCAGCATGGTCAACAAGAGTTGCATCACGTAGGGCAAGTTTCGGGAGAAGGCGAGAATCGACACGAGCAGAACGTTCGGGACGATCACCGTTTGATCGTCCGGCTCGCCGGACACCCATTCGAAGGTCCTCTTCTCTTGATAGGTGACCGTCCCGTTCTCGTGCAACTCCGCGTTCACTCTGCTCAGATTCTCCCGGTAGACGAAAGGGCCGACCTCCTGCACCCGCAGCTTCGTCGCGTTTCCGCTCTCGAACTCGTCCAGGTTCGTGTAGTTGAACACGTAGACGCTGAGCAGCAGACCGACCGGTGGCTGCTGCCATAGCAGATACGCCGACGTGCCGTTTCGCAGCTCCAAGTTGGACAGGATCGCGTTTTGGAACGCGTTCGTGAACCAAAACGCCACGAACATCGTTATGCTGGTGAACGCGGCCAGGCCGTACAGCCACAGGACCCGCCTGCTTCTCGAGCCGTCGAAGCCTTTCCGGATCGCTCTCGCCCAGCACCTCGTCTCCATGGCTCCAACGATTCGCGGCGAGAATCGCGGGATCGGTGCGCGCTCCCGACCCGATCGAACCTCTCCTCGGCCCTCCCCTTCCTCGATCGATCCCTTCGTCGCGGTTTTACCGAACGTGTGCGGTCCAACGCGCGGCACTCGATTACGCTCGATTACAGTTCCGATGGCCTGCTCGCCGCCAAAGAATACGTTGACGGCGCACAAAAATCTCCCCACCTTTCCTCGAATCATCGATAACCTTTCCGGCGACGATGACCCCGGCACGCTACCAAACTTGGGACGCGCTCTTGAAATTGCCTTCTCTCGTTGCCCGTTTAGCCGGTGGTTGCTGGCCGGACGACGCTCGGTTTTTCCTACGCTCGACGAAGACATCCCAGATGCGTCTGTGTATTCTCTATCGTCCGATTCGGTCCGCCTCTTTCCCTCGGGCCTCTGCTAGATTCGACCTCGTCGCGTCTACAATCTTTCCACGAGTTTTACGCTTCTCGCGACGCGATCGCATCTCCGAGTTCGCGTCTCCGAGTTCGCGTCTCCGAGCTCGCGTCTCCGGGTTCGCGCGACTAGGGACCACGAGAGACTCGGTATCTCGCGCAGACGAAAAAATCCATCGGAAGATCGTCGATGCCTCGATGCCAACTGGAATTTCCTATCGAGACGTACGCGGTTCCTGCCCACGAGGCGATACGAGGCGATAACAGGAAAGTCTAGGCGCGCACCGTAGAAAAACCGACGTCGCTTCGACTCGAAACTGCCGAGTTTTTTGCGTTCGGATTAGCTTCGATGGTTTTCCATCGTTTTTCTTTTTTTTTCTTTTTTTTCTTTTTTTTCTTTTTTTCTTGGCGCGTCGCGACGTGCCGGAAGACGGTGGCTTCGAAAAGGGTCATCTCGATGCGCTTCGTCGCCGTTGATTCGCCTTTATCGAAACCGTTCGATGTTGTGACTGGCAGATGCCCTTTTCACCCGCTTGTGTCGTGCGAACGAGACGCGCGACACGAATCGTGCCACACTGTGTCCATATCCATATCGATATCCCCGGACGTGTACAAACATCGTTTTTTGAGCGCAGCGAATCGGACGACTCTTCTTGGCCGGTACATTCACGATTATCCAATAAATTCAGCGAATCGCTCCGATTATATTCTTCTTCGCTCGGAGACGAATGAGTCGGGGAGAAACGGCAAGAGCAATTTCCTATTGCGACATTCGTCCAATGTGCCCGTCGTCGACGGGCCGACGCGCCATGGTTTCGTTCGTAAAAGTCGCATCTTTTCAAAAATTTCGCGGCCGCCAGAGTCGCGCGAACCCGTCCAGAGCTCTCGCCAAACTCGATATCTCGAAATGGATCGCTCATCGAGAATCGAGAATCGAGAACGAGTGCTGCCTCTAACCGCCGGTGGTGGAACTATCGTTGTCCACACGCTGGTCGAACAAACATTTTCGTCGCGTTGTTTGTTGTTTATAATAGACACAGGAAAGGACAATAATCGATTATACGCTGCTCCGAAAGGTAGAAAGTTGATCCGGGAAGAAAAATGGATTTCCAAAATCGTCCAGGAGGCAAAACTGGAGGCGGAGGTGTAGCTTCTTGGTCGGAAAGCAACCGGGACAGAAGAGAACGTCTACGACAGTTGGCGTTAGAAACTATCGATCTAAACAAAGATCCGTATTTTATGAAGAATCACTTAGGGTCTTACGAATGTAAATTGTGTCTTACTCTTCACAACAACGAGGGTAGTTATCTGGCTCACACGCAAGGTAAAAAGCATCAAGCTAACCTAGCTAGAAGGGCTGCCAAAGAAGCCAAGGAGGCACCGCAGACTCTCGCACCGGAGAAACCTAGAGTAGAACCCAAGAAATTCGTGAAAATTGGAAGACCGGGTTACAGAGTAACCAAACAACGTGATCCGGAAACCGGGCAACAGAGTTTACTGTTCCAAGTGGATTATCCAGAGGTTGCGGACAATGTAATCCCGAGGCACAGGTTCATGTCAGCCTATGAACAAAAGGTCGAACCACCGGACCGCAAATGGCAGTACTTGTTGTTTGCAGCGGAACCTTATGAAACTATAGCGTTCAAGGTAAATAAAATATACGGCAAGATTCGTGAGTTGGAAATCGTTTGTAAATGTTATACGTACCTTACAGGTGCCTAGCAGAGAAGTCGAAAAAGCGGAAGGGAAGTTTTGGACGCATTGGAACAAGGATACCAAGCAGTTTTTCCTGCAATTTGCGTTCAAGAATGAAAAACCATCGATCGGCAAAGTACCACCGCCACCGGTACCTCTCATAAGGCCAGGTTTGGGACCGCCGATGGTACCTGTACCACCACCGCCTAGACCTCCGATGTTTAATCCGGTTCCTCCACCACCCGCGCTTCTAGCTACTGGAATGCAAATACCTCCTCCGCCTCCGCACATAGCGTAACAAATAAATCTGTAAATATATTTGGAACCAAGAAAATATCTTCTACTATTTAAATTTGATTGAGAGAATACAAAGGAATTTTATTGCGTAATCAAGGAACTCGATTAAAGTCTATACCGTTCTAATTATCTACATATTTAAGCAGGGAGGACACTGTACCTGACGACAAAGAAGTACGTACATCCGAGGGCAACGAGAATTTAACGACATTTTTGAATTGCCTTGCTCCGATTGGCCGACGATTCACGGTTGAACGGTGCTGCCCTCGTTGACAAAGAGAGGAAACAACGAGTGAGCAAGACAGCACGACATCGGCGCATCTCGTTGTCTCGCGTTCTCGGTCGTTCGCGGCGACGCGTAGCCACCTGACGGTGAAGTTTGCAAAGCATCATTCAAAGTTGGACGTTGTGTTTCGTTTCGTATCGTTATTTACCGTTATCGTTTCGTTTCATAAACCGAAATTACGAGAAAGCGCAAGTATTGCACAGCCATCGAAAACCTTTGATTCGTAGCGTTCCTACGTAGCGTTATCTACGGCACGAAACGAAGAATTCTAGGGTCCGGGGTGTTGCCGATTCGTGGTACGTTGCCAAAGGGAACTTGTTCCGTCACCGTGTCGCGGATCGCGGCGAATCGAAGTCGATTCGGAGGCTAACCTCAAAATTTGTTTTCGAGCTGACTCGAAGACCGATCACCCGGCAAATAGCCGGAACGACGAGTACTCGACTCGATCCGGATCCCGTAGATTCGATTCGAGACTCGCGGACCTAGCGTATCCTGTGACAAGCGAGGTTTCGGAGCCGATCGACGAACTGCGAACGGTAGACAAACGGATAGAATGAGTTCGCAGCAGAGCCCCGCTGCGCTTCAGTCTTCGGTGGACCGAGAAAAGGTATACACGTGGATCACCGAGTTGTCGAACCCCGAGACCAGAGAGAACGCGCTGATGGAGCTGAGCAAGAAACGCGAGGTCGTCCCCGACCTGGCCCCCATGCTGTGGCACTCGTTCGGTACGTCGGCTTCGTTGCTTCAGGAAATTATCAGCATCTATCCTGCCATCAATCCGGCCACGCTGACGGCCTACCAAAGCAACCGTGTGTGCAACGCGTTGGCTTTGCTACAGTGCGTGGCCAGTCACCCCGAGACCAGGTCGGCTTTTCTGCAGGTACGCCAGAACTTCTATGCCCGTATTCTTGTCGTTTTATAAGAACCGTTTTGCTTTTCCAGGCCCATATCCCCTTGTTCTTGTACCCGTTTCTGCACACGATCAGCAAGACGAGGCCGTTCGAGTACCTCAGATTGACGAGTCTGGGCGTGATAGGAGCGCTGGTCAAGACCGACGAGCAAGAAGTGATCACGTTCCTGCTCACCACCGAGATCATCCCGCTCTGTTTGCGGATCATGGAGAGCGGGTCCGAGCTCAGCAAAACAGTGGCTACGTTCATCCTGCAAAAGATTCTGTTGGACGACAGCGGTCTTTCGTACATTTGCCAAACCTACGACAGGTTCAGCCACGTCGCGATGATTCTGGGAAAAATGGTCTTGTCCTTGGCCAAGGATCCGTCCGCGAGGCTCTTGAAGCACGTGGTCAGATGTTACTTGAGACTGTCGGACAACGCGAGGTGCGTCCAGCCACTGTTTCCGCTTATTACGCGCGTTACACGCGTTACCGAGCGAATTCGTTGCAGGGCGTTGCTGGCGTTGAGACAGTGCCTGCCGGATCAGCTGAGAGACAACAACACGTTCGCGACCTGCCTCCAAGAGGACGCGTCCACCAAACACTGGCTGAACCAACTTTTACGGAACTTGGAGAACGGCCCTCAGCTGGTGCCTCCCGCGCAGGCGGGCCAGCAGGATCCCAGAACGATCGGCATGTCGCCACTCGCGTCTTAACGTTATCCGGTTCTTCTGAGATTTTAGATTTTCGATTCAAAGACGGTGACGTCCCGTCTCGTTCTCAACGACGAATTTTGCTCGACGACATCTGGGCTCCGAACAGTTCCCACCTTTGTCTTCTAGTCGCGAGCGCCATCGATCGCGGTGGCGCAACGAAGACGATTAAACGCGAGTAATCGCTGGCACGATTTTGCGATAAGAGCAGGCCGCGGCTCGTCGAAATCACGAAAACGACGACTACGCGAATGCTACGAGAATCCTGCGAGAGAAACGGAGAGACGAAGAAACGATCGGAAGCGTAACGTTGTCAGTTTCGTTAGTTTCTCCTTCGAGCAGCTTCCACGGATCCATCGCGCGACGTAATACGAACATACGCGTTGACGTGTACGCGTCGCGCAAAGCTCTAATCTACGATAAATGTGTGTATATTTATATTGTATTATATTATGCTATAGTATATTATATTGTATCATATCACGTGTACGTATATTATTGCGTCCGTTGATCTTCCACGACTGACCGCAGATCGGCAAGCTACGGCGAATTCCGCGTATCCCGGAAGACGGCTGGATTCCTTACTGGTTCCTCGACGCATCCATTTCGATCTTCCCGAGTTCCATCGAAACCTTGTCGAAAGCGCGGACCCGTTGGCCGCTCGTGGCCGCTTTGGACCGCAAGAAAGGGCGTACCGCCGGCGTGTATAATTTCTCGTCCCCCGGTTTGCATCGGTTCGACCCGGTGATCCACGAGACGAGCAAGCCGATCGAGATCGCTATCAGAAATCCGACCCACGTGTACCAAAGGTAGGACATCCTGTAGAGGAGAAACGGTTGTTCCCTGGAACCGGCAAAAACGAAATGAACGGTGTTCGGTGGTCACCGCGCGATTCGGGGACGATCGTTCGGCGCTCACCTGCTCGCGGTATCGGCGATCGTCGTCAGATTGCCGACGCGATTCTTGATCGATTCCGGGCATCCCTCGATCGACACAGGCTTGGCGGGGAACACGATCTCCCCGGTGGAAACGGCCGCTTGGGTGCCGAGCGAGATCCAGGCGACCAGAGCCAAGCCCGCGAGACCACCGACCATCGCGCCCTGTCGCGAGTCGCACCGGTAATCGGAAACGGTCCGAAAGTGAAAAGAACGATCGATCGGTTTGCTTACCGCGGAGTTGGCGCACGGGAAGAACATGCCCAGAGTGAACATTCCGAGCAACGGTCCCGCGGTGATGCTCGACAAGCTCTTGCCGGCCTGCGAAACGTTCAAATGCAAGCGAGAGCATCGTGCTCGAAATACTAGTCTTTGGAATACGTATACGTAGAATGCAGATTAGTCCGACGGATCGGAACGACGAAGGTAGGGGAGGGGAGGTGAGGGGAGGGGAGAGGGGAGAAGACGAGAGACTTCACCTGAATCAGACCGCCGAGTTTCTCGACGAGAAACACCAGAGCCATGCAAACGATACCGATCACGACCACCGTGGCTTTCATCGTTCGGCTGGCAGCCGTGTCCGAGATGGGCCCTCGCAGCCACGGTTTTATCATGTCCTCGAATATCACTCCGGACATGGAGTTCAAGCCGGTGGACATGGTGCTGCAACGAAACGTGGACGCTGATATTCCGTCGGCCGTTGACCGCCGACGAGGGATCGAGGCGAGAACGAGATCTCTCGACGCGGACAGCTTACCTGAGGGCTGCGCTGAACACGCAGGCGACGAACAGGCCCGGCAGTCCGGGTATCGAGGTGGACAATTCCATTACGTAGAAAGGCAACAGCTGATCCGATTTACCTATTTGCTGGAACGAATCGCGTTGAGTGGCGCGAACAAAAACGAATGCGAGACGCGAGCGAGCGGGTGGTATCGCGACGTTACCTTGGTTTTGACCGGATCGCAATCGTGAAACGCTGCAAACACGACCAGGCCGGTGTAGCAACACAACGAGACGATGATTATTATGCCGATCGCCATTATCGCGATCGTTCTAAAGAACGCGCGAAAGGTGGACACGAAATTACGATAAATAGAGGAGACACGGCGGAGAAAACCGCGCGAAGAAACGTGTTCGCTTACGCGTTTGCCATTTTCAGGTTCGGCATCGCCAAGCATCGCTGCACCATCGCCTGGTTCACCGAACAGGACGCCAGCCAGTTCAAATAGTTGCCAACGACCACGGACCAGAAGGTGTGCCGCGTCGTCGGATTCGGATCCATGCTGAGGGTCGGAAGAATCGAGCGGTTCAGACAACCGGAAGCGCGAACGGAATTCGCCGAAATTCGCGGCGGTAAAGGTTTCTAGGTTTCTGTTTTTTTTTTTGTTCCCCAGCGCGTTTCTTACTTGAAAAATTCGATTCTATCCGTGTCGCGATTTCTCCGCCAGACGAGATCGATCCCGCCTACTCGGTGCGTCCCGTAAACCGCAACGATGATCACACCTCCGAATATCACGATGGTCTGAATAGCGTCTGTCCATACGACAGCTTTCAGGCCGCCCTGGAACACGCGGTTCCGCCATTACGCTGATCGCGAACTGGCGCGTTCGAACGGCCGCGACTCGCCTCCTTCTTACCAGGGTCGTGTAAAATATGCAAACTGCACAGACCAGCAGGGCGACCGCGTGCAAATTTATGCCCGTCACTTGATTGAACGCCAGCGCGGGAACGTATATCACCAGTGGGATGTACAGGAGCTACGACGACAATCCGTCCTTGAATTTGGATGTGGGCGCCGCTTGCTCGCTCGTCGCGCGGCCACTACTCACCATTTTGATCAGAAATATCACGGAACCCATCAGACGGACGGCGTCGTTGAATCTCAGCTTCAAATACTGAAAGTGCCCGGTTTGCGCGCGGTCAGTGTACGATTTACATGTACTTTTGCGACGGCGGGAGTACTACCTCGTAGGAAGAAGTGATCCCGAGACCGTAGAACACCGGCAGATAAACGAAGGCCATCGTCAGGGAGACGAACGAGTCCGAGATCACCCCGCACCAGAATTGCGTGCCGAACACGTACATCTCGGCGGGCAGACCGAGGATCGATATCCCCGATATGTAACTGAAAATTGGAGCCCACGGAATTTATTCCGGCTGCGGTCGAAGAGAGGCGCGACTCTTCTCCTACCTGGCTATCAGAGACATGCTTATAGGGAAAATGGACATGTTCTGGCCGCCCACCAGGTACTCGCGAACCGCGTCCGCGTTCTTTCTCGACTCGTACGCGTAATAGACGCCGACGATCGCGGAAATTCCCAGCATTCCCACGAAGACCGCGGAATCGATCAGATCGAACGTCTTCCGAGCCGCTTCCTCGCCGTCGGCCATGCTCGCGGCCGCGATCTTTCTTTCCTTCGTTGTCGCGGTCGGTTCGGCGCTCGGGAGATCGCGAGATCGACGCGGGACCGACGCACTTCGCGACCGGATCGATTCGCGCGAGAGCAAACAACGGCACTACGTCTCCTCGTCGATAGGATGCCGAGCCGCGAAACCGTATGCGACCCGGACGTTTGCGCGGACCTCGCTTGGGGAGCCGATTGAATAATTGCAGATTCTCTTAGTTAGCGTTCCCACTCCGCTTCCTCCGTTGTTACCTCCGCGGAACGTCTTCCTCTCCTCTCGATCCATCTCGTCCTCGTTCTCTCTTCGACTCCGCGCGCGAGCGTCGGCCGCGCGTCCGTCTTTCGACTCGAATTCGATCGGAATCCGCGGGCCGGCTCGCTGCGGCACGGAAACGTGAAAGCTTGAAAACGCGCGGTCAGGGGGTGAGAGGACAAACGTCGATCGTTTAGCGGAATTGCTCTTTCCGTGCCCCTGTTTGCTCGCCACCGATCCGTTTACCTTCTCTCCCGTATCGGCCGGTTCTCGGGTTCGTTTCCTCCCACGGAATGCTACTTTCCGTGATCGATTTCCCCGGTTCGCGGTTCGGGAGGAAAAACGGAAACGACCACTCCCGGTTTCTTTCGGGCCTTCGACGGATGGGCGTCGCATCTTTGCCCCGAAGGCGACCGAGACGCGTCGCCGCCGCCGCGTCCTTCCGTTCGCGGTGCTCGCAAGGGCTGATACTCGTTTCACGGTACTCGCGGCAACCGGTAACGGAGCGAGTAAAATGATCGCGGAGGTACTTAGAATCGCGCTCCTCTCGTCGCTGTTGTCGGGACTCGAGCGTCGATGGAACGTCGAAGGAGGCGTCGCCTACGCCAACATCACCGGACACGTAATCTTGGGCGGCCTGTTTCCCGTCCACCGAAAAGGCAGCGGAGGGAACAGTTGCGGCGAGATTCAGGCGAGGAAGCTGCCCCTCGACCGTATACAGCTCCTTTCCGTTCGGTTATGTCATCGTTGAATTTCTTTCGGCTTCAGATCGAGGACGGAGTGCAACCTCTGGAAGCCATGCTGTACACCGTCGAACGCATCAACGAGGACCCCGAGATACTGCCGGGCATACGACTCGGTGCTCTGGCCTTCGATACGTGCGACAACCCGAGTTACGCGCTGGAACAGGCCTTCTATTTCGTGAAAGGTATATACGCGTGTACGAATATATAACCGGCCAATTTTCGACCGCCAAGTTTCCTCCGATAGGTTCGATGGCGCGCGGCAATCGGCACGGGGAAAAAGAGTTCCGATGCGAGGATCGAAGCGCGCCGAGGTTCATGAACGGAGGATTCGACGACGTGATCGCGGTGCTCGGGGCGCAGTCGAGTTCGGTCACCATTCAGGTGAGCTCTCGTTCCTAGACGACCCGCACCCCTGCGATCGCGATTCGTTCGATTCGTTGGATTCGCAGGTCGCGTCGGTGCTGACGCTCTTCTCGATCCCGCAAATCTCCTACATGGCCACGTCGCCGTTCTTGAGCAGCAAAGAAAGGTTCCCGCAGTTTTTCCGAACGGTACCGAGCGACGTGAACCAAGCGCGCGCCATGCTCGAGATACTTCGGTGAGTACGCCGAGTCCTCCCCGTATTTTGTATTTCGTGTTTCGTGTTTCGTGTTTCGTGTTTCGTATTCCCGGCAGACGGTTCGAGTGGACGTACGCTTCGATCGTATATTCGGACTCGGAGTACGGCGATCACGGGTACGAGACGCTGATCTCCCTGGCGAGCGAGTACTCGATCTGCTTCACCGCTCCGCACAGAATCAAAGAGGACCGTTTCGCGGACCAAGACTACGACGACGTGGTCCACAGCATCGTCGAGAAAACCGACGTCCGAGGTAAATCGATCGCGAGTCGTTAACCACGAACACAGACGAATCGGTGAATCGGCTCGCTGGTTTTCAGTGGTGGTGCTGTTCGCGGAAAAGTCGGCGACTCTGCGCGTGCTGGAGGCGGCGAGTCGAATGGGCCTGCATTCCAAGTTCGTTTGGTTGGGCAGCGATTCGTGGCCGGATCGAATCGACGAAGAACGGAGGAGCAGCGTGCTCGAGATGGAGGGAGCGCTCGCCGTGCAGCCCCTCTACGCCCCGCTCTCGGGCTTCGACGAGTATTTCACGGGCTTGACGCTCGTGCACGAGAAACAGAACCCTTGGTTCCGCGAATTCTGGTACAAGTACCACGGCTGCGGCTACTCGAGCGAGGAGGTACGCCGAGATCCCTCGCGGATCCTTCTCGACGGCGATACGCGCGTTTAACCAGGCTCGGTGGTTTCAGCGAGCCGAGGACGGATGCGCGGATCCGAATCTCCGAATCGATCGGTCCAACGGCTACAAGCAACGGAGATTCCTGCATTTCGTTCGAGACGCGGTCTACGCGGTGGCGTACGCCCTGCGCGACGCGCAAACGGACAGCTGCGGCCCTGGATATCGCGGTATTTGCGAACGGATGCGATCCATGGACGGCGAAACGTTTTCTCGATACCTGTCCAACGTGTCGTTCGCGGGTAAGAGAGCGAGACAGGCTGTCCCATGAAATCGAAATCGACGTCGAAATTTCAAACGTTTCTCCGTTTTCATCCGATCGCAGACGAATCGGGCTACGGATTCGAATTCGTGAACCAAGTGGACGGACCGCCGAGATACTCGATTCTGAACTTTCGACGGACCTCGAACGGCTCGTATCGGTGGGCGATCGTTGGAAATTACACGCGTAAGTCGAGCACAGTTCTAGACATGTTTTCGTTTTCGTTTTCGTTTTCGTAACCGTTTCCGCGATGGCGCAGCGAACGAGCAAGGACGAGCGGAGCTTCGGCTGGACCGCGAGAAGATGAGGTTCCGCGGGGAGGTCGACTTTCCGGCGTCCTCCTGTTCCAGACCGTGCGGCTCCGATCGGATCATGGTGCGAGCGAAGGAGGACCCGTGCTGCTGGCGATGTCAGAGCTGCGGCCTCTACCGGTACCGGGTCGACGAGCACAGGTGCGAGGAGTGCGCGCGGGGAACCCGGCCGACCGCGAACGGCACCGGGTGCGAGCCGATTCCCGAGCAGTTCGTCGACCACTCGAACCCGTGGGCGATCGCCGCCATGGCGGTCGCCGTCCTCGGTAAGCCTCGAACGCTCTCTCCTCGAGGCGAAGCCTCCACACGCGTTCCTCTTCTCGTGTCCGCAGGCATATCGTTGACCGGTTTCGTTTTCTCGGTGTTCTGGTGGTATCGCGAGACACCGATGATCAAAGCCTCCGGCCGGGAGTTGTCGTTCCTGCTGCTGGTCGGCGCGCTCGCCAGTTTCTCGATCACGTTCGCGATCGTGGCCAAGCCGAGCACCGGCAGTTGCGCCGTCGTCCGTTTCGGCATCGGATTCTGCTACACGGTCTGCTACGCCGCGCTGGCCACCAAGATCAACAGGATCCACCGGATATTCAACGATCCCGGACCGAGTCCGCGAAAGCGACGGTACGAGAGATCGGCGCGATCTCGTTCGGTCGCGGAAACGATTTCAATCGCGTTCGCGGTCGCAGGTACACCAGCCCGAGGTCGCAGCTGACGATCGCGGGCATCCTGACGCTCGCGGAGGTCGCGTTGGACGCGGCTTGGCTGCTGAGGGAACCGCCGTCGGTGATCAACTCCTATCCCAGCAGAGAGGCGAACGTCAGAATCTGTCGCGGATCCGAGGACGGGTCGTACGTGATCGGTCTGGCGTATCCGTTCGTGCTGACGGGTAAGCGTGTCGCGTTCGCGAAAACGAACGCCGCTCGTATTAATCCGGCGCGAACCTGTGCTCGCGGCTCCTTTCAGTGGCGTCCACGTTCTACGCGATCAAGACCAGAAAGTGCCCGGAGGGATTCAACGAGACCCGACTGATCGGGTTCGCGAACTACGCGACGATCGTTCTGTGGCTCGCGTTCGTGCCCCTCTACCTGGCCTCGGTCAGCAACCTGGTCAGAGCGATCACGTTGGCGCTCTCGCTGTCGCTGAACGGTCTGGTGCAGCTGCTCTGCCTCTTCCTGCCGAAAGTTTACGTGGTGCTGATCAAGCCGGAGAAGAACACAAGGGAGCTGGTCATGTCGAGATCGCCGCACGCCGCCGGCTCCTCGAATCCGACGGTGACGATACCGCTCGAGGCTCCCTCTCGGTCGCCTTCGATCGCGAATCGATCCGCCCGGTCCGACCTCCAGCCGTAGACTCGAGTCGAGACGAGACCCGCGCGCCAAGGAAGAAGAGGATCGATCGCGATCGAACAGAAATATTTTCGGACAGGTGCGCGCTCTCGTGTATTTCTAGATTTCAAACGGAACACTGTTTCTGCGCAATCGACAACAGATAAAGAAGAGACAACGGCTTAAAACGTAATAAATACCCGCGAAAGGTCAACGCCTACGATAAGATAATTCTTCCGGGAACTCGAGACGAGTTCTCGCTTTTGGAAGACGTCGACTCTTCCCGTGCGACGACGAAAAGAATCGGAAACGATCGATGGATCCGGTGCAAATTCGGTCTAAACGTAACTTATCCTAAGGACGGCGAGGGTTCGCGCGCGCCAGACGGAACGCGGAACGCGCAGAATTTCGAAAGACGAGAGAGGGGGGATCTCGACGAAAGTCGATCGAGATCGAGCGTTGAGCAGACGAGTTGAGCCAAGCTGCGCGTTCCGCGTCGACGAAGAAGGACGTCGACGTCCGATCCGTGCCCGCGCCGAACCGAGCCGACCTATATGCGAAGCGCGTCGTCGCCGAGACTTCGCTCCGAAGGCCTTTCGCGTTCATGGACGGAACAATTGATAAGGACTGCTCGAACTTACGCTATCCGTACGCTGTTCGGTTCGCATCTAACTACGCGCTATTTACAATTCCGTATCGGTCTCGATACCACCGCCCCTTCGGCTTCAAAGTCAAAACGAACTCTCGCGATCTCTCCGGACTTGAACGGACACTGGACTGGGTGTCATGGCGGGATTGTCGTAGGCGTAGTCCAGGGTGGTGTCCTCGCTCGGGTGTCTTCCGGACAGGGAGAGAGTGGTGGTGGTCGTGTTCGGTGTGCCGTTATCGGCCGCGGCGCAGCTTCCGGCCTCGTTCGCGCGTCCCTGTCCCTGTCCGCTCCGATTTCCAGTCTGATCGTTCGCTCGGCTTCCGCCTCGATTCTCGATCCGATTCTCGATCCGATTGTCGATCCGATTGTCGATCCGATTCTCGATGCGATTCTCGATCCCGATCGCGGTGCCTGGATCTCGGGCCGGAGCCACGGTCGCGCTGATCGTCGGCATCACCAGTTTAGGACCGTTTCGCCTGTTGTAACCGGCCGACTCCGCGTCCTCCGTGGTCTTGTTGTTGTTCTCGTGATTGTTGCTCTTGTTCGCCGTAGCTTTCTGAAAGATCGATACGTCGAGCGGTGAACGAGAGCGGGTTCGATCTCGCGTTCTCGGTCGCTTCGACCGGACTACTCACCTTGCGCCATGCCCCGGAAAACGGTCGGCGCAAAGCGCCGCCGACGGTTTTCCATTCGACGAACCTGCTCGCGAACAGGCACGCGACCGCGACCAGGGAGACGAAGGCCACCGCGATCGCCGCCGTCGAAAAGTTCTGCAACCTGCTCACTTCACCTGTCGACCGGGAGGAACATTTCTTATCGTTTGTCGACGCGTCGACGAATCGAGTACGCGAATACGCGCGCCGCCGGCTCTACTTACTTCGTAGATCTTCGTACTGGCGTTCGACGCGCGCCAGCAGGTACACTGCAATAGAAATCGTCGTGTTTCGTAGACGGTCGGATGCGGAGAAATTTTCGGTAGCTGGCGAGTACTCGACCGCGCGACTTTCTCCGTTTCACGGAACGCGAACGGAAGAGAGGGAGAGACCGAGGAAAGAAAATGTGTACAGAGAAACGGGCAGTAGGGTAGGCTGGTGAAGCAGGTAGGCGCACAGGCAGGCAGGCAGGCAGGTAGATAGAGGTAGGTAGGCAGGCAGGCAGGCAGGCAGGTAGGCAGGGGGCAGGCAGGCGCAGGAATGAGTCATCGAGCTTGTTCGCGTTCGCGTGCGCCTTGCGCCGTGTGCGGCGTGTGGCGTGTGGAAAGTCGTCGGAGGGACGGTGGTCGGTGGTCAGGTGTAAAGTCAACGGACTCGAGCCTGCTACCTTCTGCCCGGATGCATGCTTCTCGGGCATAGCTTGGCCTACTAGCTGCGTTCGCCTTCTTTCTTTCTTTCTTTCTTTCTTTCTGTCGTTCGTTCGTTCGTTCGATCGATCGCGAAACGCGGATAGAACGCGCGACGTTCGCGGTCGCGTTCCCCGCCAGCTTCGAAGATTCGAGAGTCGAAGCCGCGCGCTCTCCGGGCTGTTACCTCGACAATAAGCGTTGCACTCCTTTTCCAGGTAGTTGTCCTCGTCGCAGATGTTGGAGCACGGCGTGCACAGGTTGTTGTGCTTGTTGCAGTATTCGGTGACCGGGCAGACGTCGCCGCAGTTCTCCCTGCGCGTGTTCATTCCTTCGACCATCGGACCCGCGAATCCAGCGATTCCCGCGAGCAACAGCCCCGCGGCGAGAGTCTCGACGCTCATGTCGCCTCCGCGAGCCGAGGAACGCGTACGCTTCGACGGTGCTTCGCCTTCGACGGCCCAGCCTCGTCTCGCCTCGCTCCTCTCAACGTCGATCCACCGAAACGTCTTCGTCGAGAACCATGTTTGTCCTGAAACTGTGCCGGACGCGTACGGCTCGTCTTAGAAAATCGAGCACGGCTCTGTCAAGGATTCGCGCGCGAGAAAGGATCGAGAGAAGCGAGAATACACGCGGCCGAACGGGACGGGGCATCCGCGATCGGAAAGCCGGCCGAAGAAATACGCTGGGCGTGAGTCATCGCGCTTCGAACCAGGCTCGAACGATCCTTGGATCGGCCGTTCGCCGAACGTTTCTCCTCGAGCCGTGTTCGACCGCGTCGTATCTTCGACCCGTTTCTCTCTCGGAAATACCGATGCGTCGCTACGTGGCGCGACTACGGCCCAGGTGCTACGTCGCCGTCCCTCCGTCCTCCGTGCTTCGGATCCCTCGATTTTGCTGGACACTCGCGTCGCGGTGCTGGAAATATTCTCGCAAAAAAGTATGCAAAGTCGGAGAGAACGATAGAAATTGCAGAGCCGTGCCTGGCATCTCGCGGTACCGGATCGACGCACGGACACGGATCGTCGCGCGTCGAAGGACACGCGTCGAGGCCCGGACGAGAGGCGTCCGTGGAAGGAGACGCGACGCCTCGAACTCCAACGCGAACGCGGAGAAGAGAGAAACGGTTTTACTACGGAGAGATCGGATCGTGGCTGGTCGGTCGATCGAGGACAGGAATGTCGTCCGACCGGTTTCGACTTTGCGAGCGCGTACCGACGCGTTACGGCCGCGCGACGACGACGGCGACGACGACGGACGCGCGTGCTACGAATTCTAGGAAGCCTCGAGAGAGCGAAACGTCGACGCCCGGACGAAACGATTCGTTCGAGACGGTGGAATCGGTTTCACCGCCGCCGCGTCTCCTCTTCGATCCCACGGATCGTACGCGCCTGCGCCTGCGCCCACGCGCGACCGATTCGACGGTGCCCACTTCCGTCGACGCGATCCCGCGGCCGAACTCGGATCGCGGCTCGATCGCGCGTTCTCTTACTTGGCTGTCGGTTGGTCCGAGATCGGCGAACTCGATCGGGTCGTCCGACGAGCACCGGCCGCTCGCATATCGTCGACGATCCCGGAAAGGAAAACGCGTCGCCTCCTCGAGCGTTCGCGGTAAACTGTCGATCGCGAGCCGAGACGAGAGTCGAGAACCGCGAGCCGAGAGCTACCAGGCTACCACCTTGCTTCCTGCCACTACCGCCTGCAGCGCACCTGAATCCGAATCCCACCTCGCCGCCGCTCCAACACCGATGCCAACACCGACACCGACGACTCCGACCGAGTCGACTTCCCCTCTGTCTCCCGCTGACCCCTCCCCGCCATCCACGGTCCCCCTGGCGATTGTTACCTGTTCATCGGCTGCTTGGCTTGGCTCGGCTCGACTCGACTCGACTCGACTCGACTCGTCTGTCTTCGAAGCGACTTACCTGTTGCGACGAGCGCGGATCGCTCGATAACGCCGTCGCGTTTTCGACGCTCGCTCGAAGTCGAGGAACAACCATGATCCTCCGCAACCGGCCGGAACGTCGACGGTCCAAGGTCGAAGCTACTACGGTTCAGGGTGAAACGAACAACTGGAGGCGACGGTGCGTGCTTGACAGCGTGTCCGCGCTTTATTATTTCTTTATCGAACGTCGCGTCGGATCGAGCACGAACTCGGTGTCTCGATCTTTGTACCGCACGGAGTCGCGTCGTGGTACAACTCTTTCCGTTATTGTTCGTACAAAATATATATCATTGTAACGGTTTGTATCTACGATAATCGGTTTACAGTAATAATAATAATAACCATAATTGTAATCATAATCATGATCATCGTTATTATCATCGTTGCTTCGAGCGGAAACGTCGTACCGTACGATGTCGACGACAATGATAATAATAACAACGACGACGACGGTAACGGTAATGGTAATGGTAATGGTAATGGTAATGGTAATAGTAATCGTAATCGTAATAATAATAGTAATAATAATAACGACAACGACAGCCGAGAACCGGACCGAAGAAGACGAAGCGGAAAAGTAAATTGCAAACGATAGGGGTCGTCGGTCCGTTTACCTTGTTGGCGAACGCGCGCTTTAGGCGCTTCGACGACGACTTTTCCGTTTCCCGTTGACGAACGCGCGGCGGACATAGACGTCGCGCGGCCAATGGACCAAAAATCGAGATTGATTAACCGCTATCAAAGTCGATTCTTCGAACCGTGAAGCACGCGCGAGAGTCGCGTCCCCGAGAGAGAGAGAGAGAGAGAGAGAGAGCGAATCGTCGCTGTGGAAAAGGTCGCCGGAGACGGAGAAGTCGCCGGATCTCGGCAATTTCACGGATTTCGTAGATTTCGTAGACTATTTTGTAGACTTCGTAGATTTTGCAGATTTCGCAGATTTCGCAGATTTCGAGCAAGTTCCGCGAGCCACCACCGGCGAGCGTCCGGTCAGCGACTCTGGCGCAACGAGTGGTGAAACGGTGATACGATGAAACGGTGATACGGTGATACGGCGACGACGATCGCTTTCGTGTTTCCGACCGACCGAAAGCATCCGACGACGGCATCTGTCGTCGGTTCGCCGTCCTCGGGTGCACGCGCTCCCGGCGCGTCGCAGCCTGCAAACCGCGGCTCTCCTCTTCTCACAGACTCCACTTGCTGTAACTGCAGAGGCACAAACTCCAGCAACCCGATCGCGTCGAAGGGTCGGCCCCGGAGGGCCGTTCGAGGCTATCGGGCCGCTCAAAATCCTATCCTCGGATGGACCCGTGGCTCGCGAATTTCTCCGGTCGGTCGCTCGCGGTCGCGACGAACCGAGGAGCGGTCTCCGTCGGCGAGGGCGACGGCGACGAAGGCGAGGCCGGCGACGACGGCGGAGAAGGCGGCGAACGAGGCGATGGAGGCGTGGGAGACGAAGGCGAGGCCCCGTCTTCCTCCGCGATCGGCAGGGACCCCGGGACCACGTTCTGCACGTAGTGCGTCAGCCTCGTGGGCAACGAGCCCGCGTTCAGCTGGTAGAACGCGATCAACTGCAGCAGATCGTAGAACTTGGTTACCCCCTTGTCGAGCGTGTACAGCCAGCAGTTGCATCGCTCGTCGAAAACCTGAAACAACGTCGTCCGGTCGCGTTTAGCCCGGCGTTCGTTTCCCTCCGCTCGACGCGAAACGAGAACGGTCTTACCGGCTGTATCTGCGCGTGAAACACTTTGTCGCTGTATTTGTAGGTCAACACGTACGCTCCCAAGTTGCTCTTGCTTTCACGAACCAGGAACACGCTGAAACCATCGAACGCGCGAAACTGTAGCTGTCTCGGGGTAATCGCGATTTAGATCGCCTTACCCGTCCACGGATCCGTGATCCCTGACGATCGCCGCCGCGATGTCCCTCTTGAGTCCCCTGTGGAACCATGGCTGCAAAACGTGGATCCCGTCGTCGAGCCCGTGCAGCCTGACCACCGCGCAGCCCGGCGGCGGTCTCAAGAACGGCCTCCAGGTGCGCCTCCAATCGATTCCCTCGCTCTCCGCGATACCTTTTGCTTCCTTCGGATCGTCCACGATCCTTCCTACGCTTCCCGTAAAGTCCATGGCCACGAGCGACCGCACCGACTCCTGTGAAAACGCGTCCAGACGATTCGTCACATATTCCCTCCGCAGCTGCTTCGCGAAGCGAAACGCGATCGACCGACCGGCCGACCGACCGAGGCTTTCGCCGTTCTACGCAAACATTGCCCGACATCTCTCTCTCTCTCTCTCTCTCTCTCTCTCCCCGTCCGTCCCCCTTTCGAAAATCCAAAAATCCGCGCTGCGACGAATACGATTACCTCTCGGCTTCGCGATACCATCGAAAAGACGGTCCGCGAAGATGCGACGCAGGAGAGGGACAGATTTTCCGGGAGTGCAGGAACAACTTCCATGTTCGGTCGGAACGGATCGACGTTCCGGCGAGGAATACTCGACGATCTGGCAACCAGCGGCAGCAGCGTCGAGGTCTGTCGATGCTCCGACCAAGACCCCCCGTCGTAAAAGAGAGAGAGAGAGAGATCGTTCAATGTCAAGGTTGTCGAAGCGCAGACGCGCGAAATCGACCGACTCCGTCCGAGCGACCAAGATCGTCGTAATTCGTAATCCGTAATCCGTAATCGCGCCGCGCAACGCGAAACACCGAACGCGGATGCGAGCCGAAAGGAAACGAAACGCGTCAGATCGTACGGAGCAATTGGATCGGTTTCGCCCGATCGACTGCTCCGCGAAGCGGGGAACGGCGCGATCGAATGCTCCGTATCGATTTCGGTTTTGATTTCAGTCTCGAGTCGGAGGAAACTGTGTGCGTCGGGTTGCGGTGCGGCGCGGCGCGGTGCAAAGCGACGCGTCGCTTCCTCCGGATGATCGATAGCCGGTTGCGCGTAGCAACGGCCTAGGGCCTAGGGCCCGAGGCATCGGGCCTGGAAACACAGCCCGAAGAAATATCGCTACGGTTCGTTTCACGTCCGTTTCGTTTCGGCGCGTGGATCGAAAGCGACCTCCTCCGCGAAACTCTGCCGAAAATCGACGCGCGGACACTCACGTTGGACACATTGTAGGAAGAGTATCGTTCCTTCGCGCTATCCCCGCTGGTTTGCTCGCACTGTTTGTTCTTGTAGGCTCTGTAGTTGTCCCTGAGCTGCTTGCCGTACTGCGAAAACAGAAACGAATATGAGGCTGGCAGAGGATGGGAACGCGATCGCTCGTGGCTCGCAGCTTACAGCTTATAGTTTACGGCTTATACTTTCGGGAAGTTTAAGGGTCGAGAGAGAGAGAGAGAGAGAGAGAGCGTTACCTTGGCGAGTCTCATGGCCGTGAGCCAGCAAACGCGGGATCTTTCGGTTTGAAATGCGACCACCTTGACGCAGGATTCTCCGGCCACGGTGCTCTTGGTTTCTCCGGTGTTGGACGGTTTCAGACACAGGCCCCACTCGAAGGGTGCGCGGAAGGGCCCCTTCGCGTTCGCGATCTTGTACACCACGAAATCCGACAAGTGGGCGAAAGTGGTCAGCCGCTCGGTCCTCTGAAAGCATTCGATCGCATCAGACTCTCGGGTTCGCGAGAACGAAGGAAAGACGGCGGTCGCGACCGTTCGTTCTCCGATCTCTGTTCCGGGACAGAATGAAACGATCGACGATTTCCCGATCCGGAAACGTCGGTTCGATTCCGACGAACGGCATCGAAAACGCGGAAGCGAAGCGTCGGCGACGGGCGGCGCGGGACGGAGAGAGGGTCGGGGGACGGGCACAGGGACAGGGACAGGGACAGGGACAGGGCACGGCATAACGCTTAGAGAGGCGCGGCGACGGTCGAACCGGAACCGGTTTCCGAGTAATTCCAGAAGCGCGATCTGTCATACGCGCGGAAATCCGACGAACGAGCGATCTCGCGCGAGCCAATACCCAACACCGAATTTCAACCGGGGACGAAGGATCTCGCGTTACAAATTCCAGCCGGAGAACGGTAACCGATCGAACGATTCGACGCGAGCAAGGCCGAGCTTTCGAGACGACGCTCGGTCTTTGTCGGATCTACGATAGGATCGATCGGCGAGATCGAGGACGGGACGAGACGCGCGTCGGCTCTTCCGGTTATCGAGTGGCGGAAGAAAGTACGTATACGTCTGGAGCCAAAGCGTCGGGACTCGGTTTTCGCGGAGGATCTAGCCGCGGAGTAGGGAAAGGAAACGGGAACGGGAACGGGAAAGGGAAAGAGAGGCTTTTGGTAAGAGGACCGCGTCGCGTTGGACCGCTCAGCACTTGCCCCAGAACCATCGAGGAGCGCGCGTTTCTCGAACATCGGTAGGAATATCGTACCGCTCGTGACATTGTGCGTCGCGCCGATCGGATGTCGCGGGTGCAACGTTCTATTCGACGATAACGTTTGGAACGAAACGACAAACGATCGTCGGCAATCGTCGGAATCGTCGGAATCGTCGGAATCGTCGGAATCGTCGGTGGCGATATCGGCGTCGAGGATACGAGACCGAGTCGACGTAGACTAGACAACGTAGAGAGAGGGAGAAAGATAAGGTAGACGAGACGAGGCGAGGCAGATGCACGCGGAAACGGTTCGCCGGATAAGTGGGTAAACGGCTAGGCCTAGGATCGACGCGTCGGAGAGAGACGGACGACGCGACGCGACGCGACGGGAACACGAACGCGAACGCGAACGCGAACGTGTCGGGCCGAGACTCGAGAGTCTCCGGTCGAGAGAGCGAGAGGAAAAACGGAAGCGAGAGCTCCGCGACCGCTCCGTATCCAGAGAAAACTCCATCGCCGATTCGTCGTTTCGTCGATTCGTCGATTCGTCGATCGCGTCGAAGCCATCGTTCCCTGTGGGATCCTTGCGGTGGATCTCGTTTCGACCGGTCGCCGCTTTCTCCGCGAATCCAACGATTTTCTCGCGTAGCACAGTGGGGTATTCCCTCGATTTCGCTGGCTCGGCTTGGAACAACAATTATAGACGAATACGAGTTCCCGATCGAATATTCGAAACGTTGGCTTTGTTATTCGATCGATCGACGAACGCGCCTATCCGCGTTCACGGTGCTTTAACGCAGCGCGAATCGTTTCAACCGTCGAACCAACGAATATCGTTGTCGTTCCGCGTCGCGAAAAGCTACGCCAAGCTGTGGAAAGCTATTAGAAACCGTCGCGACGCATCGAACGTTATTGAAAAGAGCGAAAACGGCTGGAACAAATTCGAGATCGTTCGAAACAATTTCATACTCTGGTTTCGTCTCGTCGTCGGCGGTTGATAAGTCACAGCCATGCGACGCGTACGAATTTTTGCGCGTCGCGTCCCGTTCTATCGCGATTCCCGCTAAACCGATCACGATTTTCTCGCCCAAACGTGACTTTTCTTTTTTTTAACTCTGTCATCCGTCCACGTTCGATTTCAGATTCCGCGTGCGAAAAATATATATTCACCGTGGAAAAAAGCGATCGCGCTCCGAAATCCGCTAACGCGGTGGACGCCGAAAAAGGCACGAACGCGTATAAATACGGTCGCGTGTCTCTTCGCGAAGGGAAAAACGAAAAGAAAATTTGCGGTTCGTTGCCCCCCGACTACTCGTCTTTTCCACGTACTCGACTCGTTTCCGCCGACGACGGATTCGACGAAACCGACTTTTCGCGAACGAAATCGAGCAAATCCCCACTATGCGTCGCGATTCCGTCGGTAAATCGTCGCGTCGTCGAAACCACGAAAGCTACGGCGAAAGTACTCCATTATTCCGCCGTCTTCGAGCGATTCGTGTACGGAAAGAGATAGACAGAGGCAGAGAGAGAGAGAGAGAGTCGCCGTTGTTCGACCGACGATGCACGGTCGACGGTTCAACGTTGTGCCACTGTTTCCGCGGACCGAGCATTTCTCGCGACACATCGATAGAATCACGACACCTACGAATCCGAACAACTTCCGAGCCCGTCCAGCGGCTCGTACGAACGTCTTCGTTTAGAATTTCGGAAGGGAATCCGAAAGAAGCGCGTATCCTCGACATCGGCCGACGAACCGTTCTCGCTGATTCTCGCGACGGTTGCGACGTCGTCGCGGACCTTTCCGCGACTCTCCGCGCTTCTTCGATAGTCTCTTTGATTTCTCGGTGTTCATTCCTCGTAGCAGCGAATCGACGAGGACGACGACGACGACGACGACGACGACGCTGTTCATGCTGATGCTGGTGCTATCCGCGGGGTGCCGATCACGATGACGAACGCAATGGCGAGGGAGAAACGAAGGAAGGGGTTAGTTGCCGAGGCTGCGGAAGGAGGGGATAGGAAGCGAGCGAGCAAGCGTGCAAAAGAGAGGGAGAGGGAGCGAGAGCGACAGAGAGAGAGAGGGGGGGGGAGAGAAAGAGAGAGAGGGAGAGAGAGAGAGAGAGAGAGACGGAGAGACGATCTACCGGCGAGGCAACGGCAGACTGCGCGTCGACGCCGATCTTCTTGCTCGATTCGCAGCTGTTTTCCCCGTTGATCGGAACGAGTCGATGGCGAAGACGTCGATGTCGGTGTCGGCGTCGGCGTTGGCGTCGCGACGTCGCGACCGATCGGTCCCGCGCGACACGGCGTCGATGCGGCCGGTCGCGATTCGCGATTCGCGATTCAAGGGAGGACAACGTCGGCGACGACGAAAGAGGCGTAGGAGGCGTAGGAGGCGCACGCGCGCATCGCCTCCCAACGACGACGTCGGGTCGACAACTGACGGCGGAGCGGCTGAGCGGCCGAGCCTGAGCAGCCTGCTGCTCGCCGGTACTCCGGGTACCCTCGTGCATCGCGTCATTCGCGTCGGACAAAGATCCGACGGTTGCCGAGTCGCGGCGCGGAAACAGCCGAGGCCCGCAGTCAGCTGGTTTCCCGGCGGCGACGCGGCGACGCGGCGACGCGGCGGCGGCGGCGGGCTGCGAACCGAGAACCGAGAGAACCGAGAGCGGAGCAGCGGGTCGCAGTTGCGCCTTGCTCTCTTCCTTGCTCCCTCGTTTCGATCACGCTCTCCCCCTCGCCGACTTTCCCGAATCAGCTGGTCGCGCTCAACCCCTTCTTTCCTCTTCCTCTTCCTCCTCCTTCGTCTCTTCCTCTTCCTGTTCCTCCTCCTTCCCTTCCCTTCCCTTCCCTTTCCTTTCCGTTCCGTTCCCTTTCTTCGTTTCTCGTCCGCGCGATCGACCATCCCCGTTGGTTTTCGCGTTCCTCTCGCAGCCCCTCGCCGTTCTCGCCGTTCTCGCCGAATTTCGCCGCGCTTTCGAGAAGCCGATCGACGCGGCGAGGGAAATGCTCGGGTGTATCTCGACCGCGTTACCGATCGCGCTAAAAACGACGATTACACGGTTGGAAAATACGCAAAGTTTGGCCGGCCGCCAAAAAGTCAGCCGCGCGCATTCTACTCCAAATATCCTAACCCACTAAACTCGTGAAAAGTCTAAAATGGTTCGGCACGGCACGGCTCGGCTCGGCGGGCCGCGGCGAATCGCGTCGCGACGGCGGGAAAGCCGAACCAACGAACGAACGGTTTCGCGGTTATTCCGACTTTCCTTGCGATTCCGGCTCTCCGGCTTCGGCTCCCTATCGTTCGATTCGGCGCGACGCGGCGGCACCGAAGGCGAGACGGCGCGCGTATGCTTCTGGTTTTCGCGTACGCGCGATGCTTCGACCAATCGTCTTACCTGAAACCGCCTCGTCGATAACTCGTTCATCTGAAACCAAGTTATACTCGATTTAGCGAGCTATCTCGGAGAGACATGGAATCGGCGCGAGCGACGGCCGACGAAACGCGACGGTCCGGAAAAAGACTCGACTCGTTCTCGATAGAGAGTACCGAGAACGTTCGACGCGCGAGCTGCTCGCGCGCGGCCCGATGCGAACGGACCTCGGAGAACGAGAACGAGAACGAAAACGAGATGGAGAAGGAGAACTAGAATGAGAACGAGAACGAAAACGCGAATCGTTCACGGTTCGTCACGCGTCACGAACGCGAACAATGAAGTGGATGCAACGGAGGTCGTGTAATATTATGCGTTGCGAAAACGTATTGTGCTTGCCCGACACCCTGAACGGAGTAAAACGAGTACAGGGGGAAACGGAGTTACGGAAGTTCGAAGGGTTCCGATGGGAGAAGGCTGTTCGAAGGTGGCAGCCGGCTCGACGGGCCCGCACCGGTAGCGGCTATCCTTCTTCCCCGTACCGGCATATCGCCCTACCGTTGCCGTTCTCACTGCCATTGCCATCGTCTCGGCATCGGCGACGAGGCCGATCGCGAGCCTCGCGAGAATCGAACTTGTCCGTTTTCGAGGGGACCGCGCGCCGGTCCACCGAGACATGGACTCGATCGAGCGATCGACGGATCGAAGGACGATACGATCGGCGATCGGAACGATGCGTCCGCCGGCAGGGTCGGGGCAACCGGAGATCGAGAGACGAAGAGAGGAAAAGTGGAAAAGAGGAAAGCTGGAAAGGTGGAAAGGAGGAAAAGAGAAACGAACCCGTGCGCGAACGGAGTCGGCGAGAAGGAAAACGGTGAGAAAGCCGAGAAGAGGTTAAAGAGGCGGAAGGGGGAGCGGTGGAGCGAGCGAGCGAGCGAGCGAACGGCGGAAAGGGAGCGAAAAAGAGAGAGAGACGAGCGGATGAAAAGTGGGGGAAAGCGAGAGGGGAAAATGGTGGGAGTTGCTGGGTCGACGACCCAGAGAGCAGTGTTCCTAGTAGAATAACTCTATCGTCGGTACGAATGTGTGTCACGCGCGGCTCGTTTCGCACCTTCGTCTTACCCGAGAGCCGGTTCGCCGAAGCCTCGAGACGAAAGCCGGGGCTGCTCCGATCCAAAGTCTCTCGGTCGTCCGCCCGTGCGGACGCCTCGTTTCGGAACGAACCGCTTCCTTCGACCGCTTTCGACGTTTCGACCGTGTGGCATCGTGGAGAATCGGGCATGGAAACGACGCGGCGCGACGGATCGCTCGCTCGAACATCCAAACACGGCCGATCTCGCCTCGCGAACACCGCCTACGCGAGAATCCATCGAGGCTGAGAGACGCCTCTCGATACGCTCGCCGCGGGACGTCGGGATTACGCGCGTGGTCGAAACGAACGATGTCGCCGACGGTGAACGTCGTCTCGGTTTCTCCGCGGACTTCGAGATAAAAGGGAATGGAAAGCGACGCGCCGAGATCCGCGAAACCGACGAAGGAAAGCGAACGAAACGAAACGAGGGGAAAGGAGAGCCGAGAAGAACGTTGGGGCGAGCGGACTCGGGACTCGACTCGACTCGACTCGACTCGGGACCGGGATAGTCGCAAAAACGCATCGTGCTCGGTGAAAGCGGCTAGGAAAAATATCTTACGATTACGGTAGGAGAACGGCCCGCGCGCGTTCGGCTCGAGCAAAGTTCGCTAGAGTGACCCACGCAACGTCCACGCGTTTTCTCCGCGCGCGCGCGCGCGCGTACCCCGATCCGTTTTCTTATCGCTCCAAGTTGCGAATGTCCTTCCGGGCCGACGAATCGCGACCACGGCACGCTGCTCACCTTCTTGAGCACGTAGAGCTTTTCGTTTCGCAGCAACAAGTACATTTTCCTCCACGCGTCGAAATATCCGTTCCGCACCCACGCCGGGCTCAACACCTGCGGGCACGGCGCGTTCTCTTGCAGCAGATAGTTCTGAAATTCGACAACGATTCGTTAACAGAAATAATCGCGCGTTCGACCGCGCTTATACCGACTCTCAAGGCGCTCTCCTCGTCGATCAACGTTGCCCCGCTGTTCGCGCTGTCGCCGTTCTCGTTGTCGTTGGAATTGTCGGCTGGAGGAAACGCGATCATATCGGAGGGAAAGAATTGCTGGAATAAACGAAGAAAACGTTCCGTTTAGACTTGCACCGTTCCCAAAACGGAAACGAGTCGTCCAAGTTGCGAATTCGAGCGGAGTCTCGCTCGGTCGTCGTCGCTCGGCTATCGTCGCTAAAATATGATAATTTAGGGCTGGAAGAACGTACGAAGGTGCGCAAAGGCGTTCCGGAAAATTTTCAGCATCCATTTCGTGCCAAACGGATTTATTCGTTACCGCGAATATACGCGTACACGCGTACGCGCGCAGACTTTCCGACCGGCTCCCGAACGTTTCAAAATACCGCTGTTCTCGGAGACCACCTGATAAGAGTCGCGCGATAAGGATAAAGTCGGGTCGTTGGTTGGTTCGCGCGCGAGCGTAGTAAACGCGATCGAAACGAAACGAAATGTACGCGTATCGCTCTTGCTTCAACGTGGAAACACCGATCGAAATCGCGGATGCTACGTGTTGCGCGACTCTCGTCGATGGATCTCTAACCTCCGAGCTATTTCGAATCAACGGCGGCGCCTCTCGCGGCGAAATCGCGAAGCTCCTTTCGGCGTTCGTACAGCGCCGATTAGTCCGGTGGCAAAACGCCCAAACTGCTAGCCAGTCGGTGGCGCCTCTCGCGGCGGAAGTTGGAAGCTTCTTTCGAGGTCCGTACAGCGCCGATTAGTCCGGTGGCAAAACGCTCAAACTACTAGCCAAAATGACCGACGGTCGATTTTGGCTAACAGTTTGAGCGTTTTGCCACCGGACTAATTGGCGCTGTACGAACGCCGAAAGTAGCTTTGATTTTTCTCCGCGAGAGGCGCCACGTTCGTCGATTGTCGCCCGCGTACGCGGAATGCAGGGTCGTCGAAAAACATTAATCACGGCCAAATTAGAGCACGAAACGATAAACCGAGGACACGGATTCGTCCGCTACGAGAATCTTCTCTCTTCGATCGATTTCGCGCGAGAAAACCGTACGACAACGCGATCGTAATATCGCCGTAATCGATGTCGTCGAACGATCCTGCGTCGTTCGTAAAGACCGCGACGATGCCCCGATTATCGTATTTTAGTGGAAGCGACAACGAAGGAGGAAACCGAGGTAAGATCGATTCCAAACATGCCCGATAATCGGTTTACACCCGCGTAGATGTTGCGCGTCGAAAGCGAACGTGCGATCCCGATTTCCGAATCGATCGGAACTAAAACGACAAAGAGGAGGGGAGAATACGCAACGTTTCCGCGTATTCGTCTCTACTCACCTTGGGATCCACGAAGAATTCGTACTTGAGATAATCCGTTCGAAAGAGAAATTTGCTGCGGAACCGAGACGCGAACGTTCTCGCGTCTCTGTGCACGGCCACGATGTCTTCGTGATCTTCCAGAGTACGCTCTGCGAAACCGATCCGACACACGCGCACACAGAGAGAAGAGAAGAGGGAGAGAGAGAGAGAGAGAGAGAGAGAGAGAATACCAGATAACGTCGATTCCAGCAACACACGATCGATCTCTCGAGGACGCGAACACCCGAGCTCGAGCTCCGTCGCGTCGCGAATCGCGTCTTCCTCGCTCTACTCCCTTCGCGGTGAAAATTCAAAGGAATTCAACGTCTCGAGAACGTTTCGCGTCGGCGACCGTCGTACGGTGGGAAGAGCGGACAAGACTCGAGAAATTGGGGGAACCGGGAGAAAGCGCGAGTAGACTGGACGATCGAAAAACGTTTCGCGACAGGACGAGGTCGAGCTCGCGTGTCGCGCGAGCCATCGGATCGGACGATTGCGAACCGAATAACGGACGACGATTCTCACCAATTCCCAATTCCGGCCACTCTTCGACGATCGACCAAGCGTTACCGGAAACGTTCCGCTTCACTTTCAGCAGCCGACACGCGTCGTCCGCTCGAAGATTCTCTTCGACGAGCAAGCTGTTCCATGTGTCGTCGTCGTCGTCGTCGTCGTCGTCGTCGTCGTTGTGAAAACGCAACTCCAACACCTGATCGAGAAAACCGAACCGAACGATCGAAAATAACGTTAATCGTTTGTGGTTTCAGCGCCCCGTCTCGGGCCAACGCGAACCGGACGAAAGCTCACTTGATCGTTGCCGAAATGATCGTCGCGGGAACGTCCACCGTGCTCGCCGTTGGCGCGTTCCTCGACTCTGGCCACCGTCGCCGCCGACGCGGTCCGACCAAATTCGAAGACGTCGCTGCCTCTGGATCCGAAACGCTCGTAACTTCCGACTCGTCTCATCGGCCGACCGGACAACCAAGGAATCGCTACGCCGTTCTCCGTGCACGAGCACACCTTCGGCAACCAATCTGCAACAGGAAAAGAACGCGCAGTAACGCAGCGGATCCCGAGTCCTGTTCCGAGTAGAGCGCGCCGCACCCCCAACGATCGAACGACAGCGAACCAGCGCGACGCGACGCGCCTTCTTTTGCTCGAATTCGGCCGATACGATTTCCTACGTTTTTCTTTTATCCGAATTTTTCATTTCTATCCGAATTTTCATGTTCGTTCTCGTTTCTCTTTCTGCCCGCGTTAAGGATTTCGAGAGAGAGAGAGAGACGCGAAGGTCGTCCCAAGGTCCAATTTTCGAACTTACTGCAAATGTTTGAACAACGCCGACGAACCTGAAAGAACCAGGTTGTCGCTGTGCCGATTCCTCNTCCGTACAGCGCCGATTAGTCCGGTGGCAAAACGCTCAAACTACTAGCCAAAATGACCGACGGTCGATTTTGGCTAACAGTTTGAGCGTTTTGCCACCGGACTAATTGGCGCTGTACGAACGCCGAAAGTAGCTTTGATTTTTCTCCGCGAGAGGCGCCACGTTCGTCGATTGTCGCCCGCGTACGCGGAATGCAGGGTCGTCGAAAAACATTAATCACGGCCAAATTAGAGCACGAAACGATAAACCGAGGACACGGATTCGTCCGCTACGAGAATCTTCTCTCTTCGATCGATTTCGCGCGAGAAAACCGTACGACAACGCGATCGTAATATCGCCGTAATCGATGTCGTCGAACGATCCTGCGTCGTTCGTAAAGACCGCGACGATGCCCCGATTATCGTATTTTAGTGGAAGCGACAACGAAGGAGGAAACCGAGGTAAGATCGATTCCAAACATGCCCGATAATCGGTTTACACCCGCGTAGATGTTGCGCGTCGAAAGCGAACGTGCGATCCCGATTTCCGAATCGATCGGAACTAAAACGACAAAGAGGAGGGGAGAATACGCAACGTTTCCGCGTATTCGTCTCTACTCACCTTGGGATCCACGAAGAATTCGTACTTGAGATAATCCGTTCGAAAGAGAAATTTGCTGCGGAACCGAGACGCGAACGTTCTCGCGTCTCTGTGCACGGCCACGATGTCTTCGTGATCTTCCAGAGTACGCTCTGCGAAACCGATCCGACACACGCGCACACAGAGAGAAGAGAAGAGGGAGAGAGAGAGAGAGAGAGAGAGAGAGAGAATACCAGATAACGTCGATTCCAGCAACACACGATCGATCTCTCGAGGACGCGAACACCCGAGCTCGAGCTCCGTCGCGTCGCGAATCGCGTCTTCCTCGCTCTACTCCCTTCGCGGTGAAAATTCAAAGGAATTCAACGTCTCGAGAACGTTTCGCGTCGGCGACCGTCGTACGGTGGGAAGAGCGGACAAGACTCGAGAAATTGGGGGAACCGGGAGAAAGCGCGAGTAGACTGGACGATCGAAAAACGTTTCGCGACAGGACGAGGTCGAGCTCGCGTGTCGCGCGAGCCATCGGATCGGACGATTGCGAACCGAATAACGGACGACGATTCTCACCAATTCCCAATTCCGGCCACTCTTCGACGATCGACCAAGCGTTACCGGAAACGTTCCGCTTCACTTTCAGCAGCCGACACGCGTCGTCCGCTCGAAGATTCTCTTCGACGAGCAAGCTGTTCCATGTGTCGTCGTCGTCGTCGTCGTCGTCGTCGTCGTCGTTGTGAAAACGCAACTCCAACACCTGATCGAGAAAACCGAACCGAACGATCGAAAATAACGTTAATCGTTTGTGGTTTCAGCGCCCCGTCTCGGGCCAACGCGAACCGGACGAAAGCTCACTTGATCGTTGCCGAAATGATCGTCGCGGGAACGTCCACCGTGCTCGCCGTTGGCGCGTTCCTCGACTCTGGCCACCGTCGCCGCCGACGCGGTCCGACCAAATTCGAAGACGTCGCTGCCTCTGGATCCGAAACGCTCGTAACTTCCGACTCGTCTCATCGGCCGACCGGACAACCAAGGAATCGCTACGCCGTTCTCCGTGCACGAGCACACCTTCGGCAACCAATCTGCAACAGGAAAAGAACGCGCAGTAACGCAGCGGATCCCGAGTCCTGTTCCGAGTAGAGCGCGCCGCACCCCCAACGATCGAACGACAGCGAACCAGCGCGACGCGACGCGCCTTCTTTTGCTCGAATTCGGCCGATACGATTTCCTACGTTTTTCTTTTATCCGAATTTTTCATTTCTATCCGAATTTTCATGTTCGTTCTCGTTTCTCTTTCTGCCCGCGTTAAGGATTTCGAGAGAGAGAGAGAGACGCGAAGGTCGTCCCAAGGTCCAATTTTCGAACTTACTGCAAATGTTTGAACAACGCCGACGAACCTGAAAGAACCAGGTTGTCGCTGTGCCGATTCCTCTGTCCCGCGTCAAATCGTTGCAACTCGCGAGTTCCGCGCAGCTCGCGAGGAACCAATCGCTGTAGATTCTTCGCTCGTCGGTCGCTGCATCGGGTTCGCGATCGCGCGTCATCGATGTCATCGATGTCGTCGTCAGCGATGGTGCGATCGTCGTCGTGTTCGTGTTCGAGTCCGAGTTCGAGCCCGAGGTTGCGATCGCGGTAGCGGTCGCGGTCGCGGTAGCTGGTGCTGTTTCTGCTGTCGTTGCCGTTGCCGTTGCGGACGCTGCGGCGGTCGCCGGCATCGTTAAATTCGTCGACACGTCGTCGATCACCGTTCGTTCCCACGGTAGCTTTTGCACCCGAGGATCGCGACATCCGGGCGACAGGCGATCCGAAATGTTCTTCGCGCAATCTCGAGAATCATCCTCGAATCTGGTCGCGGCGACGAACGTCAAACTCCCCACCATGTCGACGGTTCTGAAAGAAACGGATCGCTCTCGTTAGTTTCGAGAACGCCGCGACGAGACGAGAGGCGATGGGACGCGACGCGACGGCTGGCAACCGACGACCGACGACCGACGACCGACGACCGACGGCACGAGTGAACCGTATAGTTCCGGCTTCTCGGGTCTGTCCGAGCGACGACGCGCGACGACGCTTTCCGTTTCCGTATCTCTTCGGCGAGAAGATACGCAGGAGAGAACGATTCGATCTCGTCGCAAGGTCGTTGCACGATCGTTACGCAACGATCGCTGGAACACGCTGGTCACGCGTACGACTTCTTCGCGGCGCATCGTTCGAGTGCACCGAGTATCGAAAGAAAACTAGACTTTTTTTCACATAGTTGTCGAGCCGCGGCGAGGCTAACGAAGGTTAACTCGCCTCTAAATTGACGGCGCGGTCTAAATTGGTCACGCAAAGGTACGTAGCACGTAGCACGTAGCACGTAGCGCGTTACGTGCGCGCTCGAACGCGCGCGAACGCGGATCGTCCGCTACCCTTCGAATCGGCCCGGTAAAGCGACGAGCACGGTTTCCCGATACTTTCGATACGCGGCGAAACCACGTCCGAGGAACGTGGACTCTCTCCTGTCACCTTACCGCGTCGGACGTTCGCCGATGAAACCGATGCGACGATCGTCGAAGGAAAGCTCGCGATCGCCCTCCGGTTCCAGCCAAGGCGTCTCGCGTCTCCGCACTCGTTCGCACTTTTCTCTTCCGCACCGGTGCCGCGTTCGGCTATCCGACGATGCGACGCGACGCGACGCGCGGTCCGCGGAGAGCACCGCCGCGAGGAACGAGGCGCGAGCGAGACGGACTCGCCGCGTCGTTCTATCGGCCGAGGCACGAACCGGTCAACGTAGGCGGCGAAAGTCAATTGTTTCGGATCAAATACGAGTGTCGCCGAGGTCGGGAGGCGATTCGACGCAGCGGTCCGAAAGCCCGAACGTTTCACGCGCGTACAGCTGCTATCGACGACAACACCCTGCTGCCGTTGTTCGTGTCGAGGCTGCGCGATAAACTCGCGTAATTGCAGGCTCGGGCAAAACTGTACGCGATCTCGTATCCATGTTTCGCGTCCGACGCGAGAAGCTGGCTCGCGCGAGAAAAGGAGAAAGAACGAGCGAGAGAGAGAGAGAGAGAGAGAGAGAGAGACGCGGACTCGGTTCCGATCTCGTCTCGATCTCGGCGATCGATCGCGATCGCGATCGCGATCGCGGCTCGGGTGCAGCGACTGCAGCAAACGGCAGCAACGCGTTGCTCGATTCGCTCGAACTCCCGCGCGCGACGCGAACCGAGACAACCATTGGACGATGGAAAACCGACGCGTCCGCAACTCGGGCTCGACTTACGTCACTCGAAGTTACTCGAATCCAGCCGCGCTTCGACGAGCTCGCCTTTTTTCTTTCCCGTTATCGTCGTTCCTACGAATTTATCGTGCTCGCAGCGCCGACAGCCGCGAACGATCGTCCGTCTCTACCGAATCCAACGGCGACGGAGCGGTGCCTCTCGCGTTTTTTTCTCGAGTCGGTGTCTTCGTCCGGTCCTCCATCGATCGGTTCCGATGCACGGTCGCGTCGGTGTCGTCGGGGTCACCGAGACCGCGCGATCGCCGATCCGTGAACGCGAGCCGTCGATCCGCCGTTCGAACCACGAGCGCGACAGCCGCGATCTCCGTCGCGAGACTGGAACTGGAGACCGAAGGCGGCGTGGTCGAAACACATGGGACTCGGGACACGGGACACTGTACACGAGACGGAACAAACTATCGCTTCACCGCAACGCCTCTTACCGCCGCGTCTCTCCACGCTACTACCACCGTTCTCTCGCTTCCGTTCGCTTCTGTTCGTTCGCGCTCGCTTCTCCTCGGCTCGTCTCACCGCGTCACGCCGCGTCTCCGATCGCGCATCGCATTATCCGGATCCGGGCGACCGCGACCGCGGCCGCGACCGCGACCGCGATCGCCGCATCGCGGCACCGCGAAACCACACACGTGCTCAGCCGCGCGTCCTCTTCCATGTAAACGCCGATCGCGAGACTCCTGGTCGCCGTCGCGTCGGTCCGCTCGCTCCCCACCAGAGGCTTTCCGCCTCGGTCGGCTTTCGTCATTTTTCCCCGAAGATTGCGCGTTAATTACGCGGCGAGCGGGCTTTCTCTCGCGACGAGGCGACACGAGCGGACGCGATTCCGTCTCTGCCTCCGATGCCGAAGGGAATCGTCGCGCCGGCGCGGATCGAGCTTCGAGCTCCGAGCTCGGAGCGCGCGCTCGCGGAGGTGCAGCCGCGTGAAAATGCGTCGCCGAAAATAGCGCCGTCCAGTCGCGCGGGCTTCGTCTAAATTTATTCGACCGATCGCGAACGGCCGCGTGCCGTCTCGGGTCCCGTAGTCGGATCCGCGGATCGGTGCGACGTCGATCGTCGTTTCCCCGACGCGACTTCGAGACATCGACGGTGCGCGAGGTATTCGAGAACAACGGTGGTCGCAGCCACCGCGTACGGCTAGCATCGGGACGCCGCGACCTCGACATGGAGGGCACCGAACAGTTTTACAGGAATTTGTGCTCGTTGGAAACGGTGCGATCGGGGAAGACGGGATTCTTCCGAGACTTCAGCGAGCACGTTTCCGGTATCGCCGGCGAGACCTGGATCTCGGAGGTGTTCGGCCGGATTCGGGACGACGAGGCTCGAGTGCGAGCCCTCTTCACGGACGAGAAGATCAAGGAGGCGGTGACGGAGACGCTCGACAGAACCACGATGCTCTACAGAGCGAAGGACGCGGAAGCGTCCAGAGCGAGGAGGCTCGAAGCTCTGGAAGCCGCGGCCAAAGGAGAACGAGAGAAAGCCGTTTTACTTTTCAGCCAGGCCGTTCTGCGCGCACCACCCACAGGTCTCGAATCTTCCAGGCGTATCTCCGTTGTCACGTTGCCCCGCTGCCCCGTTTCAGCGTTCGCGAAATAGACGTCGCGTCAAGTCGATTCGCTGATTTCAGGGAAATGCGAAGCGGTGGACGATGGATTGTCGCTGCCGCTCGCGTTGCTCGGCAGGGCGGAAGCGTTCGTCGCGTTGAACGAGCACGCGCTCGCCCTCGAGGACTTTGCTCTGATCGAGGTGGAGGAGGAGGAGGAGAAGAAGAAGAAGAAGAAGGAGGTCGAGCTTCCGGAGCGTTTCCGGTGAGCCGATCGTTTCCAGTTTCGGAATATCGCGGTTTTTTTTTTGTTTTTCGAAGAATTAAAAGAGACGCTTTTTTCAGGGTGGAACTCGCGAGGAAGAGGGCGGACTGCGAGAAGCGTTATATCCCTTCGGAGAAGGAGGAGGAGCAGACGTCGTCGAAATCTCAAAAGCTGAGCGGTGGCCCGCACCCCGAGATGCCGACTGCCTCGGCTCTGCTGGACGTGCGAGAGACGGCGACCGCGGGCAAACAGGCGATCGCGACCGGGGAAATCGGTCCCGGGGACACCCTGGTGGTCGAGCCGCCCCTCGCGGCTTGCCTGCTGCCGGAATTTTTCGGGACCCGCTGCCACCACTGTTTCGCCGGGTGAGCGTCGTGCATCGTCTCTCCGGCCCCGCCTCTCTACATTCGTCTCGCTCGGTTCTTCCAGATTGAGGGGCCCCGTGGGATGTCCGGATTGCAGCAGCGTCGCCTTTTGCGGCAGAACCTGCCGAGACGAGGCAACGGCGAGCTATCACAAGTACGAGTGCCGGATTCTGGCGCTGCTCATAGGTAACGAACACCGAGCGTACTACCGAGAACCTTCTAGTCCCGATCCGGTCTTCCTCCTCGTTACTCGTTGCGCATCTTTTTGCGAGGTCAGGCTCGGGAATGAGCGCTCTGAGCATGCTCGCTCTGCGAATGGTCGCCCAGTCGGGCCCGACCGAGTGCGCGCGCATTTGTCGCGCGCTGCGCGCTCGAAACTCCGAGGATCCAATGCCGAAATCGAAGGACGGCGATCTCGAAGAAGCTGCGGGAACGACAACGGCAACGGCAACGCGAACGAAGCTCGGCAAGTCCGCGAAACGGCGAATCAGAAGAAAGATATTGCGCGACTCGAAATACCAAAAGGAAAAACCGTACGAGGAAACCGAGCTTCGAGCTTACGAGCTGGTCATGCACGAGGACCGGAGAACGGCCAGAGACTTTTTCGAGAGATCGCTGATGGCAGCGTTCCTCTTGAAATGTTTGCAAACGGTCGGCTTCTTCGAAGACTCGAGTCGATCGAAGGTGTCGACGGTGCCGACTGAATCGGAGATCGCGGTGGCTGCTCTGCTGCTGAAACATCTTCAGTTGTTGCAGTTCAACGCTCACGAGGTCTTCGAAACTCGACCGGGCAAGGAACATCGGTTTCGCGGCAGCAAACCCGTTTACATCGGGGTGGCGATCTACCCGACCGTGGCCCGATTCAATCACGACTGTTATCCCGCGGTGACGAGGTGCGTTGCCCCGGACTGTTTCGAGACGAACGAACGCGATACATATGTCTTTTGCGCAGATACTTCGTCGGCCGAAGCATCGTGATTCGAGCGACGCGCAGCCTGCGAGTCGGGGACACGGTCGCCGAGAATTACGGGCCGATCTTCACCAAAAGGAGCCTGGAGGAACGCCGGAGAACCTTGGCCGGCAGGTATTGGTTCGAGTGCGAGTGCACGGCTTGCCGCGAAAACTGGCCCCGCTTCGAAGGCTTGACCAACGAGCACGCGCGGCTGAGGTGAGCCAACGTACGTAGGAGCTAGGGGACCCGGGACCTACGACTCAGCGTCTACGCGACCCAGAGGCTAGACCCTCGATCCTAGATCCGTCGAAACAGCCGCGATCCGGTGTCGCGCGTCGGGCGGGAGGGGAGGCCTGCCTGCCTGCCGGACGCTTTCGGAGCAAAGCGCTTCCGCCCGAATGCGAACAATCGCGGAACGCGAAACGCGATAACCGCGGCTCGCGAGGGGTTATCGATCGCTTTTTAAAAGTCGGCCGAAGTTGCGCCGCGCGAACCGGTTCACCGGTTGTTCCAGCGAAGAACGATCTAGGGTCGGGTTTCGCTTCGATTGAATCGGTTCGATGCTCGCGAGCGTTGCGTGTCGCAGATGCCCCACGGAAGGATGCGAGAAGCTACATCGGCAGCCCCGACGAGCCGGGGAGACGGGCGACCCGATCGAGTGCTCGGCTTGTCGTCGGACGATCGACTTGCGGGGACCGCTCGCTGCTCTGCGCGAATGCGAGCGTCGGTACGAGCAAGGATTCGCGGCGATGGACCGGGAACGATCCGACGAGGCGTTGGAAGCGTTCCTCGGGGCAGCGAGAAAGTTTCACCGAATAGCGGTGCCGCCGCACAGGGACACGCATTTGGCGGAAATCGCGGCGAGCGCGTGCATGTCGCACGCTTCGATCCGGCACGCGTAGAAACGTGAACGGTTTCTTGCCAGGTTCCGGACGACGGCCGGTCCGGAGAACGAGAGAAAACGACGGTTCGAGGAAACTGAATCACAAACGACCTTCGGTTCTTCGATTTTGCGATTTTTTTGGCATTTATTTTTTATAATGCACATGTTTCGTGAAAAAATTAAATTCCATATATGAAATTAGCTTTTCGAAGTTTCGCGTTTTGGTACAAAATTCACTGGATTGAAAGGACCGGGTTATGTCTCGGAGAAAGGAGGAAGCGACGGGACTGTGGCGGAAGGAAGAAGGAAGAGGGGAGAGGGGAGAGGGGAGAAGGGCGATGGAACGATGGAATATAACGGGAGAGAGAAGAGTAGGTGAGAATAGGGGTGTGAGGGCTACTTGACGAACGGCGCGTACGCGTCCGATATGCGGCCGCCAAGCCATCTCTCCTTCGAAGAGACGAGCGCGCTTCCTCGATCGTTTCGAGGATACGGTCGCGCGCTCGTTCTCCGATCCGATCCGATCCGGTTCGGCTCGGCTCGGTTCGATTCGATTCGCAACGGGCCGCGGATCCGATTTCGATCCAATTACGTTATCGCGAACACATAATTTTGAATTAATTGACTGCCGGCGCGACGCAGCGAGTGCCCTCGCTTCCCTAATCTCGGGAACCCGATCTCGATCGGTTCCCGCGCTCGCGCTGCGACCACGGGCGCAACGCGCAACGAGCAACGACCGAAAAACGGACGACGATCGACGAGAACCGAAACGTTGCGATCGAACCGGACGAGCGGATCGCGAGCGCCTCGAATACCACGTGTTACATGTATTCCTCGGGCGTACCTCGGTTCGCTCGATTCTTCTTCTCGATCGTGCGCACAATTTCTTTCCTTGTTATTTCACATTTTTTTGGTTTTCTTTTTTACTTCGATATTCACTTTCAACACATGCATTGTTCTTTTTTCGCATTCAATTACAATGTTTGCGTCCTAAGCGTTACTTTCTTTCTTGGCTCTCTTCCATTCTTTCCCTCGTCGCCTGATCCAGACGGCGAGCGCATCCCGACGTCGCTTTCCATCTACTTTGTACTTCGTGGGAGTGGCAGCGCGATCGCGACAACAGAAACGTTCAATGTACACAAGTGTAAGTAACCGTTTTTTTCCCAAACTTTTTTTTATCTCGACCTCTATAATTGTTATCCTCTCTATTACTCGAACGACCGATCCGGTCGCAAAGAAACGCGATCGTGCCTAGTTTTCTCCCACTCCGCACCGCATTCGCGCGCACACACTCTCCTCGCGTGCTCGCGTCCGATTCTCTGTTTCCTCCTTGAACCGTTGTAGTCTTTTTTCGGTTTCGCAACTTGCTATCGGAGAAATCTGTCCCGGGGACGCGAATAGAATAAGAGAACGGTATATAGTTTTCGGCGATCCGTCGCGCGTCGGACGTCGACGTCTTCGGGACAACGATCGGGATACAATGAGCGACGACGACGACGACAACGATCGTGGAACAAAACACAAAGTACACAAAGTAACTAACAATAACGAACAGCATGACAGTTTCGAAACGTTGTTGAAGAAAATTGTATACTTTATTTTCCGACGATATGACTACAAACTAAAATTTAAAAAAGTAGTTTTGTTTTCATGCAAAAACATATAAATTTCTTTCTCTCTCTCTCTCTCGCTCTCTTTCTCTCTCTCTCTCTCTCTCTCTCTCTCCTATCCTGTCACACGCACACACGCACGCATACAGACGCACACATACATTGACGCACACAAACTCTCTGTTCCTCTCACTCATTCTTGTTTCTCTTTTTGTTTCTGTATTCCTTTTACTCTCTCACTCCATTGACAAGTCAGGGATTTGCGTCGTCAATCGAGTCGTAGCAGAATAACTGCGATTTCTTAATATCGTACGCAATCGACGCGCGCGAGTCTTGGAATAATCGCGCAATCGTGGAATGGCGTCGATCCGAAAACCATGGACAGATCGCACCTGGGGCCCGCCAGGGGCACACCGGCCGAGTTGACCGTCCCGATCGATCTACCGAACGATTGTCGCCGGATCGATCGAACGGAACGCTGTCTCGTTTGCTTTCGCATCGTCGCGATCGGATCAGTGGAACGAGCGAGGATCGAGAATCGAGGAAGATGAAAACGACGCGCGTCGGACTTCCGTTCGTCGAAACGTAACGTAACGTAACGCAGCGAAACGAAACGAAACGAAACGAAACGAAACGAAACGAAACAAAACGTAGTCGCAACGTTTAACGCGCGTTCGAAGGAACGGCAAAATTTTCAGAGAATTTCAAACGACGGAACCACCCACGGTTTTCGGTTGTTCCGCGTTTGCGCGCGAATAACGCGCGTTCGCCACGATAACGGATACGTATACGGATGTACGCAACAAGAGAACCTCACGTATATATCGTACTAAACTCAAAGACGTCTATGTAGAACGATCGAATGCGTTTCGTCGAAGAAAAATCAAAACATATGAAACAATGAATACGCAAAAACAAGAACAAAAATAGCAATTTCGTCCATACGAGTTGATGTCGCGTCCTTATGCCCTATATCACCGTGCATCTTCCCTTTTTCCGCGATTTCGTTCTTTCCTCCGATCAAGATTGCCCTCTATCGTGTACACCGAATTGGTCGCAGTCGCGATTTTCGTCCATCGTTCCGTCAGTCGTCCATTGTCCGTCGTTCGTCGACCGTCGGTGCATCCGGCGCTTCCTCCGCTTCTTTTCTTCGTCGCGAGCGAGACACGAGCGTCGCGCGCCTGCATCCCCGCGAACCATTCGTCGGTAGCATGGTCGAACGCGCGGAATACATGCCGCATCGTCGTCGACTCGTTTGCCGGCTTCGCGGACGGTCGCTGTCGGTCACCCTCTCTTCTTTCTATTCTTTCCCTCCTTTCTCCGCGATAACAATTGCCGAAACTTTCTACGAAAATACAACGTAGTTCTCCCGGAGATATCGCAGCGATCCTAGAGAGACCCTGCGATCGAGGAAACGATCGAGAACGCGACGTTCTTCCGAGGAGAGCGCGGTGTACCGTTGATTCGTTAGTTTCTTTGCTTTCCTTCTTTCTTTTTTTAGATTTTTTTTTGTTCGATTCTTTTGTTACGTTGTTGTTGTTGTTGNATTACTCGAACGACCGATCCGGTCGCAAAGAAACGCGATCGTGCCTAGTTTTCTCCCACTCCGCACCGCATTCGCGCGCACACACTCTCCTCGCGTGCTCGCGTCCGATTCTCTGTTTCCTCCTTGAACCGTTGTAGTCTTTTTTCGGTTTCGCAACTTGCTATCGGAGAAATCTGTCCCGGGGACGCGAATAGAATAAGAGAACGGTATATAGTTTTCGGCGATCCGTCGCGCGTCGGACGTCGACGTCTTCGGGACAACGATCGGGATACAATGAGCGACGACGACGACGACAACGATCGTGGAACAAAACACAAAGTACACAAAGTAACTAACAATAACGAACAGCATGACAGTTTCGAAACGTTGTTGAAGAAAATTGTATACTTTATTTTCCGACGATATGACTACAAACTAAAATTTAAAAAAGTAGTTTTGTTTTCATGCAAAAACATATAAATTTCTTTCTCTCTCTCTCTCTCGCTCTCTTTCTCTCTCTCTCTCTCTCTCTCTCTCTCCTATCCTGTCACACGCACACACGCACGCATACAGACGCACACATACATTGACGCACACAAACTCTCTGTTCCTCTCACTCATTCTTGTTTCTCTTTTTGTTTCTGTATTCCTTTTACTCTCTCACTCCATTGACAAGTCAGGGATTTGCGTCGTCAATCGAGTCGTAGCAGAATAACTGCGATTTCTTAATATCGTACGCAATCGACGCGCGCGAGTCTTGGAATAATCGCGCAATCGTGGAATGGCGTCGATCCGAAAACCATGGACAGATCGCACCTGGGGCCCGCCAGGGGCACACCGGCCGAGTTGACCGTCCCGATCGATCTACCGAACGATTGTCGCCGGATCGATCGAACGGAACGCTGTCTCGTTTGCTTTCGCATCGTCGCGATCGGATCAGTGGAACGAGCGAGGATCGAGAATCGAGGAAGATGAAAACGACGCGCGTCGGACTTCCGTTCGTCGAAACGTAACGTAACGTAACGCAGCGAAACGAAACGAAACGAAACGAAACGAAACGAAACGAAACAAAACGTAGTCGCAACGTTTAACGCGCGTTCGAAGGAACGGCAAAATTTTCAGAGAATTTCAAACGACGGAACCACCCACGGTTTTCGGTTGTTCCGCGTTTGCGCGCGAATAACGCGCGTTCGCCACGATAACGGATACGTATACGGATGTACGCAACAAGAGAACCTCACGTATATATCGTACTAAACTCAAAGACGTCTATGTAGAACGATCGAATGCGTTTCGTCGAAGAAAAATCAAAACATATGAAACAATGAATACGCAAAAACAAGAACAAAAATAGCAATTTCGTCCATACGAGTTGATGTCGCGTCCTTATGCCCTATATCACCGTGCATCTTCCCTTTTTCCGCGATTTCGTTCTTTCCTCCGATCAAGATTGCCCTCTATCGTGTACACCGAATTGGTCGCAGTCGCGATTTTCGTCCATCGTTCCGTCAGTCGTCCATTGTCCGTCGTTCGTCGACCGTCGGTGCATCCGGCGCTTCCTCCGCTTCTTTTCTTCGTCGCGAGCGAGACACGAGCGTCGCGCGCCTGCATCCCCGCGAACCATTCGTCGGTAGCATGGTCGAACGCGCGGAATACATGCCGCATCGTCGTCGACTCGTTTGCCGGCTTCGCGGACGGTCGCTGTCGGTCACCCTCTCTTCTTTCTATTCTTTCCCTCCTTTCTCCGCGATAACAATTGCCGAAACTTTCTACGAAAATACAACGTAGTTCTCCCGGAGATATCGCAGCGATCCTAGAGAGACCCTGCGATCGAGGAAACGATCGAGAACGCGACGTTCTTCCGAGGAGAGCGCGGTGTACCGTTGATTCGTTAGTTTCTTTGCTTTCCTTCTTTCTTTTTTTAGATTTTTTTTTGTTCGATTCTTTTGTTACGTTGTTGTTGTTGTTGTTGTTGATGATGTTGTTGTTGCCGTTGCTGTGGTGGTTGTTGTTGTTGCTGTTTCTGCTGCTGCTGCTTCGGTGTATAACGGGTGTTGGTGTTACTTGTTAAAAGGAGTGGTTATGTCGTGGTGGTACCATTGCTGTTGATTAAGCGGTGCTTTCGGTAGTGGTGTTCTGAACCGGCTGACTTTCCTGCAAATGGCAACGATTCGATCAGAGACGATCGGTCGACGAAACGTGGGTCGCAGGCAAAACGGTACCGTACCGCTGCGATCTAGGCGAGCGACTACGCTCGCTACGAAGCGTGTAATCGCGCGAGTTCGATCGAACCGAGTAGCGGCGAGACGATGGAAACGAGTTACGGAGAAAGTCGGTGAATCGATCGAAAAGTGGAAAATGGAAGAGTGAAAAAGTAAACGAAGAGCATGCCGTGAAACGGAGGGAGCGATCGTGGAACGAGCAAAGAACGTGGGTACGAGGTGGCGATCGATGGAGGAATTGGGAGAAGAAAGAAAAATAAAGCCACATTACCTGTGGAGCAGGGGCAGCGGCAGGTGCATCCTTATCTATAGGTGCATCCGACTTCTGCTCCGACTGAAAAGAGCACAAAAAGAGACGTGCAATAGTGTGTGCCAAGCGGTACGCCAATTTACGACGAGCACGTTCGTCGGCGGATCGCGGTCGATCGGTCAACGAACGAACAGCTGTTTATCGGAAGTGTTTCGTGTTCGAAAAAAAGCCAGGGTTCGAGAGAGAGAGAGAGAGAGAGACAGGGACGTCGAGAGCTCGGCGACGATCGCGACGCGATTCGAACGACGCGGTTTCGTCGCTGGAACGGACTCGGAGGAAAAACAAGATCGCCGCCGCGCTGGCTGCTCTACCTGGACGAACGGGTGACGGGCGTCGGGACGTGGAAATACAGGAGTTGCGACAGGATTGGGTTTGTCGACGGTGGAGCGTCGTTGGCAAACTCTGTCGATCGCTTGCTGGCTGCTGGTTGGCCGCGGTTGCCTGACAACTCTTCGCTTGTACCGCGATCGAAGCGGTCTCTGCAGACCGTCGACCGGTGCCGAGCCACCGCCTTCTTCGTCGTTGTCGGATACCTGAGTCGATACGTATCAAGGTGGGAAGATGATGGTATCGTGGTGGAAAAATGGAGAGGTGTCGGGGGGGGAGGGGGGGGAGAGAGTGTGACAACGGGAGGAGAAAAAGCAGAAACCGTGCGATAGAACCGACAAGACCGAGAGTGAAAACAGAGCGGCGAAGGGACACCGAACCGTCGGAGTGGAATTGGTGGAACCGGTGAAAACGGGAGAAAGAGAAAGAATAGGTGGAAGACAGAAACAGAAGGAGAGAAAGAGAAAGGCAAAAAGAGAGAAAGAGAGAGAGACAAAGAGGTAGATAACAGAGAGAACTATACAGACTTTTGTTTGACCATCCTGGCTGCGAGGTCGACGCGGTGGACCGCCACCTCTGCCTCCGCGGAAATTGCGGCGATAGTAGCGGCGGGAAGCTCCGCCGCGGCCGCGAGCACCGCCGCCGCGGGGCACACCTTCGCCACCTGTTCCCTCGCCCTCCTGTTCTTCGGGTTCGCCGGAATTGTCGGTGTGCTGTTGCGCCGATGGTCCGGATCGTCTCGGCCCGCGATAGTAACCGTCGTACGGCCTTCGGACCCTGTAACGCCGCTGTTGTCCACCACCTTCGCCGACGTTAGCTTCGTCCGCGGATTTGCCTTCGCCTGGAAAAGGTTGACATCGTTCGAATCCGTGATCGTCCGAGAGAAGATTCTCGCGAATTATCTACCAACCGGCTTCGTAGCCCTCCTGACCCTCGCGCGGTCTGCGCTGAGTTCGAGTGTTGCCACGTTTCTGACTGATGTACCAGTGAACTCCGCGGAATCCGCGTCGCTTGTCGGCAGCGTAAGGCGAACCCTTGACCGCTTCCCCGCAAGGACCGGTTACGTTGGCCGCTTCGTGACCCTTCTCGCCGATCACCACGTCGAACTCGACCACTTCTCCGTCACCGACGCTACGGACAATCTTCCTTGGATTGTTCTTCACGATCGCCGACTGCAAAAACACCGATCGGTTAAATATCGACGGTGTCGGGGGGTGGGGGGGATCGAGAACCGCAATATTTTCAAAATAAAATCAACTCACTTGATGAACGAACACGTCCTCCTTGGTGTCGTTCCTGAGACAACAGAGAAACAGGATTAGAGGGGCTCCGCTAGGTATGTTCTCCCCTCGCGCCTAAAGATCCTGCAACCGGCAACGCACCGCTACCGGCCGGCCGGCCGGCCGGTCCGCCACGCCATCTCGCATTTGAGCGCATTTAAGCGCGTTTCTCCAACGCAACGAACGTAAAGAAATTCTGTGCGTCTCGGAACATGGATCGTTCGAACAGGGTCTCGACACGTTCCAATGGGTGACCGGACACGATCATTTGCTTTGCCACTCGTCAAAACTAGCCGTTCGAGTCGCGAACGATGCGCGATCGACGGTGCGAAAAAGTGGCGGCGTTTAACTAAAATATAGGCTCCGCGACGATAATCGAACGCGAATCGTTCGCGCCGCGCGTACTTCGAATCTCGAACGGCTCTACACGTTGCTTCATGGTTCGCTTCGCCTCGCTGATTTTCCGCAGTGTTCTCCGTCTCGAGGGAGACGTTCTCTCCTTTCGAGAACACGGATAGTACAAAGATACGACGCTATCAAAAATTGTCTCGCCTTTTTTCATTTACTCGCCGATCACACGGTGTATGTAACCGTGTTCCTTCGCCGATGAACTCTCGGACAAAATTCAACGATCTTCGCGAGACCGAACGGACTGCCGAGCCGTGAAACGAAGGTTTGGCGGACAGCCAAACTTTAGCTTAGATCTAGAACCGTCTAGAAATAGCAGAGAGGTTCGAGAATCAAGGTACGAAGAACCGGTGGAATTCCTCGTCGGTAGTTGTTGCTCGCGTAGCGTGGACGGAACACGGCCGGCCAAAACGGATCGCAGCAGCGGAAAATCGGCGAGAGCGCGAACATCGAAAAATCTCGATCCATCGAAATATCGGATACGATACCGGCACACCAGAGATGCTGGTTACTAACCTGTTGATGAATCCGTATCCACTCTTCACGTTGAACCATTTCACAGTCCCGGTCACTTTGGTAGCTGAAACCCAACAAAAACGAAACGCTCTAATTAGGTGTTTGCCGTGTAACGGGACACCGCGCTACTGCCCGGTCATCGCGACTAAGCCTTCTTTCGAGAACGCGTCCCTAATTGCCCCCCTCTCCTTCTTCCAAAGCTACACACCCTGTCGTTCGCGTTTCCGCGATCCGCGAAAAAGAATTTTCAGATCGAGTCGAATCGAACTTACGAAAGATTCGAATATCCGCGTAACGCGCGCAACCGCTGCTCGGCCATATTACCCGAACAGACTTTGAACGATCAAAATCGAATGGAAAACCATGCCAAAGGGATAAGCAATATCTGTTTACTCTCGAATCGATTGTTTTTTCTTCGACATGTGTCGACGTTCGCAGGGAGTGCTTGCATTTACGAGTCCGCGATCGAAACCGTACGTTCCGAGTGGTACGTGTTTACATCGTGAACAGGTAAATCGACAGGGGACAAGAGCGATATTCTCGAATTCCGAGTTTTACGATTCACGTTTCGGAAAAGGTCGTTCGCGACGATGCTTTCGAACGATCGTGCCGATCGCGCCAACCGTTATCGATATCGATATCGAGCTCCATTCACGCGTACGAGCTAAAGAATTCGTGGTTCTAACACGTTTCTCCAACGAATCGCTTTCGCGATTTCTCTATGCGCGACCTATGTTTTCGACCGGGTACGATACAACCACGATATTTCCTGTTTTCCGTTTTCGGTACGCTCCGATTTACGCGGAAAACAGAATCGATGCGTCCTAGTTCGTAGAGCGGCCGAACTCCGATTTTCACGAGTTTTCGTCAAGCTCGCGGATTATGTTGAATTTCCGTATCACGAAACATTATGGTGACGAAGGGAAAGATTGGGTGAGCGAGCAAGTGAGTGAGTAAGAGAGAGAGAGAGAGAGAGAGAGAGAGAGAGAGAGAGAGAGAGAGAGAGAGAGAGAGAGAGAGAGAGAGAGAGCGCGAGAGAGAGATACAAAATGCGATACGAGAGGGGCAGGGAAGCTAGGCAAAGATAGAGATAAAGATAGATAGAGACAGAGATAGATAGGAATAGCAGACCAAGATGGTAATAGGGATAGAAATAGAATTAAAACTGGTGATTACTGTAGACGTGAGCCGAATGTAGCTAGATGGACACGGATAGATTCGGATAGGGGTGTAGAAAGGAGAAGAGAGAGAAAGGGAGAGAGAGAGAGAGAGAAAGACTCCGAATGCGTGGAGGACGCAAGAGTGTATGGAGAAGAGAAAAATTGAAATTATCGGAGCAAGAGAAACTCCGAGAAAGTATGAAAAACCGGCGATCTCGAGCGAAACTTCGTGAAACGAAATTAGCCAGACAGATTAAGCTCTTTGGTCGCACACGCCGGTCACATGCCACATGGTTGAACGTCTGCTGCTCGCGGACGCCATTACAGCACGCTGACGACACGGCGGTCGACGAGTTAGCCGCTTTCCCTTTCGGCTCGATTTTTTCACCGGAAAGATGCGCGGTCGCGATATCAACGTAGTGCTTACTCACCGATGACCTGCTTCGGCTGGACAGCCTTTGATTGTTCGGGCTGTTTTTCCGGGTCAGCCATGGTGGTGGTGTTCAGGTGTTAAGACACGCCGCTGCCGAACCTAGATGTTCCCGTCTTTCTGGTCGTGGTGTTGGTTCCCTTCTGATGTTCCCAACATGGCTGCGCCTCCAGGCGACCGTGCAAACATCCTTCCCGTCTAACGAACGGTCCGATAGGTCGTCGAGCCGGCCAGTTTCTTTACTCGTCCAATCCCGTGCAGAGTTTCACGGAACGCGCGTGACGTCGTATCGCGCTACTTCCTCGATTTCTCGCTCGCTCGCGCTCGCGCTCGTGATCGCGTTCGTGTTCGTCCTCTCGCCCCCGCTCTCGCCCTCGCCATCGCAACGTCATCGTTCTCCTCGTCGCGTCGCGTCAACGTCCCCTGTACCGTCGACCGAGCTTCGTCCGTACTAAAAATTTTACGAGTTATGGAATCTCGTTGATTCGACGGATCGAACAAACTATTTTCTTACGATTCAGCGTCTTGACGCGTATTTCCAAAGCGATACATACGGCTAAACTCGAAAGTTTGCTAGCGCCGAATGGTACGGAAAGTACAGTGGCGCGCACCTACGAATCGGCGAGCTTGGCGCTCGTAGCAAAGGCCGATCGATCGATTCGAATACCGCATCGCGTGGTCTATCTCGTGCCCCTTTATGTTATTTCGATTACTCCAGATATTATCGTTCACGGCTTTGATATAACCGAACGGCGTGCCCTGTTATCGCATCAATTGGAATCGAATCATTTGCAAATATTCGAATTCGTTCTAGTTCTTACGCGATACTTAATCTCGGTCGGAATCGTGTTCGCCTGCGGTCAACCATTTTTCACACGCTCGTACTACTTCCGCCGAACTTTGAACAAAATTACGTAAATCGTCTAAAAATATTTGATATTCCGCGAATGCCTGTGAACGTAATACGATTCGAATTGTACCGTTCGAAGATGCCTTTCTTCTCGACAAAATTCCCAAAAATTGTCTCGTACTCTTTACAAGTTATTACACCGAGAAAGATCCCTGCTGAACCCTTCCCGGTACAGTCTGTTGGTATCTTTCGTGCGATTTTACCAATTTTCGCATCCGTAAATTCGAACTAGAACTTCGACTATCGGGTTTCAGGATTATCGACGTTCGATGAAAGCCGCGCTCGTACGATTCTGTTGGCGGGAAGGGAGGACGGGAAAAGATAATGTAAACGTAAAACGAAACTTTACTCGAAAAGCGTCNAGAGAGAGAGAGAGAGAGAGAGAGAGAGAGAGAGAGAGAGAGAGAGAGAGAGAGAGCGCGAGAGAGAGATACAAAATGCGATACGAGAGGGGCAGGGAAGCTAGGCAAAGATAGAGATAAAGATAGATAGAGACAGAGATAGATAGGAATAGCAGACCAAGATGGTAATAGGGATAGAAATAGAATTAAAACTGGTGATTACTGTAGACGTGAGCCGAATGTAGCTAGATGGACACGGATAGATTCGGATAGGGGTGTAGAAAGGAGAAGAGAGAGAAAGGGAGAGAGAGAGAGAGAGAAAGACTCCGAATGCGTGGAGGACGCAAGAGTGTATGGAGAAGAGAAAAATTGAAATTATCGGAGCAAGAGAAACTCCGAGAAAGTATGAAAAACCGGCGATCTCGAGCGAAACTTCGTGAAACGAAATTAGCCAGACAGATTAAGCTCTTTGGTCGCACACGCCGGTCACATGCCACATGGTTGAACGTCTGCTGCTCGCGGACGCCATTACAGCACGCTGACGACACGGCGGTCGACGAGTTAGCCGCTTTCCCTTTCGGCTCGATTTTTTCACCGGAAAGATGCGCGGTCGCGATATCAACGTAGTGCTTACTCACCGATGACCTGCTTCGGCTGGACAGCCTTTGATTGTTCGGGCTGTTTTTCCGGGTCAGCCATGGTGGTGGTGTTCAGGTGTTAAGACACGCCGCTGCCGAACCTAGATGTTCCCGTCTTTCTGGTCGTGGTGTTGGTTCCCTTCTGATGTTCCCAACATGGCTGCGCCTCCAGGCGACCGTGCAAACATCCTTCCCGTCTAACGAACGGTCCGATAGGTCGTCGAGCCGGCCAGTTTCTTTACTCGTCCAATCCCGTGCAGAGTTTCACGGAACGCGCGTGACGTCGTATCGCGCTACTTCCTCGATTTCTCGCTCGCTCGCGCTCGCGCTCGTGATCGCGTTCGTGTTCGTCCTCTCGCCCCCGCTCTCGCCCTCGCCATCGCAACGTCATCGTTCTCCTCGTCGCGTCGCGTCAACGTCCCCTGTACCGTCGACCGAGCTTCGTCCGTACTAAAAATTTTACGAGTTATGGAATCTCGTTGATTCGACGGATCGAACAAACTATTTTCTTACGATTCAGCGTCTTGACGCGTATTTCCAAAGCGATACATACGGCTAAACTCGAAAGTTTGCTAGCGCCGAATGGTACGGAAAGTACAGTGGCGCGCACCTACGAATCGGCGAGCTTGGCGCTCGTAGCAAAGGCCGATCGATCGATTCGAATACCGCATCGCGTGGTCTATCTCGTGCCCCTTTATGTTATTTCGATTACTCCAGATATTATCGTTCACGGCTTTGATATAACCGAACGGCGTGCCCTGTTATCGCATCAATTGGAATCGAATCATTTGCAAATATTCGAATTCGTTCTAGTTCTTACGCGATACTTAATCTCGGTCGGAATCGTGTTCGCCTGCGGTCAACCATTTTTCACACGCTCGTACTACTTCCGCCGAACTTTGAACAAAATTACGTAAATCGTCTAAAAATATTTGATATTCCGCGAATGCCTGTGAACGTAATACGATTCGAATTGTACCGTTCGAAGATGCCTTTCTTCTCGACAAAATTCCCAAAAATTGTCTCGTACTCTTTACAAGTTATTACACCGAGAAAGATCCCTGCTGAACCCTTCCCGGTACAGTCTGTTGGTATCTTTCGTGCGATTTTACCAATTTTCGCATCCGTAAATTCGAACTAGAACTTCGACTATCGGGTTTCAGGATTATCGACGTTCGATGAAAGCCGCGCTCGTACGATTCTGTTGGCGGGAAGGGAGGACGGGAAAAGATAATGTAAACGTAAAACGAAACTTTACTCGAAAAGCGTCAACGTTCGTATTTCCGACGTTTCTTAAACTGTACAATAACTCGAAAATACATCTGCCTCGTTGAAGCGTAGAAGAAAATAACTGTGTGTGTGTGTGTGTGTGTGTGTGTGTGTGTGTGTGCATATCTTTTACAATAATCTTCGATCGACCGGAAAATCTCGTTCGTTCGCTGTTGAGAAACACAAAGCAGCTGTTCTATTTGCTGCTATCGTCTGGGGAACGTCGTTACGTCGTTACGTCGTTATATCTGGACATTTCGACGGAGTAAGTCCGAATACGAACGCGAGGGGACCGCGACGCCGGGTAATAAAATGTAAGAATTTCGTCGGCGTTAAAATTACGCTTGTTGCTCGACCGATGTCCATCGTTGACTACACCGATTTCATTGGCGATATTTTATTACATTCTACAAGTACGGAATCGATCGATGAGACGTTAAAAATCGCGCTAACAATCGCAAACAGAAAATTTGTCATGATTCGTCCGTTTGTGAACAATTAAAGGTTAAAAATGAACATTGCTTTCGATCGACGAACGATAAACGTTAAATGAAAAAATTATCTAAAATACCAGATAAATCCACGTACGTAGTGTGTGTCATACCGTACGTGTGGCTCACTGTTCGATCACGCGGGTTGTGCGGAGCAGAATGTAAAACAAAAATGCGAATCAAAAGAATCGTTTGGACGTGCACGTCCGTGTAAACTGGATAGATTTGAACGGTAACGAAAAATGTATTTTGAAACGACAACCAGTCGTTGAACGAGCAAGTGGTTCCGTTTGGAACTACGCGGCACTCTACGCGTAGACTCTGGTAAATCCTTGGTATCGTTGGAAATACAGATGGAGCGAAGCGAACAAGAAAGAACGGAACGGAGCCGAGTCGAGTTGCTTCTCGAATCCTCGACAAACAGATTCACATTCTTCATCATCTCGGCTTTCTGGTCCGAACGCTTCTGGATCTTGGGGCGGTGGAGCCGCTTCCGATGCTGAACATGCCAGGCATCAACGCGTTGAATGTCGGTGTACTCGTTGTTCCAAAGTTGATGGTTGGCGTCGCCGATGGAGCAGAGAAGTTGAAGCCTGTGGTCCCTTAGAACCACCAAACGTAACGTTATCGTTGTTATACGTGTATACAGAATAGACATTCGCGAGTACATGGTCGGGCGAAAATCGAATTGAAAATGATCACCTTGTTTCGGAGTGGACGCGTTGAACTGAAACGGTGAGGAGGACGAAGCGGCGGCGTTGTTGTTGTTATTGTTATTGTTGTTGTTGTTGTTGTTCGAGTTATTACCGCTGCTATTAAAGGCGAAGCTGGCGACTGGCTGCTGCGGCGATTTTTGGTTCGAATTCGCCCCAAAAGTGAACACACTGGCGGCGTTGTTGTTCGCGTTGCTCGCATTTCCGGATCCAAACACGGTCGTGGACACGTTCGGCGTGGCAAACGGAGAAGAGGCTTGACCAAATGCCGGCGCCTTGTTCTGGCTGAAAGCAACGCTCGAACCAAGAGTCGTCCCAGAAGCGTTAGCGGATGCGCCGAATGTTGTATTTTGTCCTGCGAACGCATTGGATGCGCTGGTGGAAATAACGCTGGAAATAACGATGGAAGAAGGAACCGAAGTGGATGTTGCTGCGGGAGCGGGCGTGGCCAAGGTGATAGCTGATCCGAATACGGGAGCTGCGGACGTATTCGAAGATGCGGATACAGAAGCGGGTGTGATTGCGGATGCGGTCGTGGTTGGTTCTGTGCCGAATATGCTGGTTCCACCGCCGAAGGTATGAGATGCGGTATTTTGCCCTTTAGAAGCGACGTTGTTTTGAGATCCAAAGACAGGGGATGCGGCGTATGTAGCGGCGAACGAGGGTTCCGTTGCACTCCTGGAAACGATCACGGAACCGAAAATCGACGGAGTCGCGTTGCTCGAAATAGACGCGGGACTACTAAATGTGGCCACGGTAATCGATGGCGATCCAAACACGGGCGTCGAGGTACTCGAGAACGTTCCCGTTGTACTTTTCAAGTTGTCCGCCAGAGATTTCGTTTGACCAAAGATGTTGCTCGGTGTTCCAAAAGCGGACGTTGGACTCGTATTGGAGAAGACGTTGCCACTCGCTCCGGTCGCTCCGGTCCCTCCGGAAGTGGATGCTTTCGCAACGGAGCCAAAGATCGAAGCGGAACTCGAGTTCGGCATTCCCAAGGATGCTCCAGACGCCGGTTTGTTCGAAAATATTGGCGTAGGATCGGTGGAAGTTGTGGCCGAGTTCGAGCCGAACAGAGATCGGGTGGAGGTACTTGCGGTACTCGTTGCGGCCACGTCCGCGTTCACGGCCGCGGTTGTTGCGTTAGCGGTCGAAGCACCGAATATCGCTTGACCGGGCATTGTTCCGAACACCGATCCAACCGATGTCGTGGTTATATTCCCAAATATCGAAGCGGCGTTCGCATTGAATTGCGAACTGCTGCTGCCGACGTTGCTATTGTTCGTCGAATTTCCAAACGTTGATTTGCTCGAGTTATTATTGACGCCACCGAATAGCGTCGCGTTCGATGTTCCCGTCGATACGTTGGTCGCGACGGTCGTCGTTGTTACGTTGCCGAAAGAAAATCCTGGTTTGTTGCTGTTACCGGGTGCGCCAGGGGAACTGGCTCCGAAGCAGAAGTTTGGAAGTTTGGTCAATTCGAACGGGGATGCTGCAGTTTTCACGTTCGACGACAAATCAAACGCCGATGTCGGTCCACCGACAGTCGTTGCAACATTGGACCGTGATATCGCTTGATTCGTATTAGATTCGATAGAGATTGCTTCGGACTTTGTTGTATCGCAAACACCTTGATTGCTCTGCAGAACAGGCGCAGGATTGGAGATAGGAACGATAGCGGAGGTGGAGGCGGCGGCGGCGGCGGCGGCGGCGGCAACGGAGACGGAGGCAGAGGCGGATGCGGTGGCGGAGGAGGAAACAGAGATAGAGCTGTTTCCACCGAAACTCGAGCCAAATACGAAACCAGCTTCGGTCTTCGCGGCACTGTCTTTACTTCCAAAGCTGAACAACGAAGTCGGTGCTGCCATGGTAGTCGATGCTATGGTAGTAGGTGCGATCGGGGATATTCTGGGTGTTGATATACTGGATATGGGTATGTTTTGTTCCTTGTTTCCCGCGTTGGAACCTGAAGTCGACGCTCCGCTCCACGCACTCGGATGCGTCATCGAAAACGCGGCGTTGTTGCTGGTTCCGGGCATAGTGTTCGACATCGGCGAAACTTTCTCTGGCGCTTGCGAGCCGCTCGTTTTAGCTTTAGCAAGCACGGAAGTCGTACTCGCTGGAACACTCGAAGAGGAGAACGTAACACTGGTTGTACCTCTGATCAGATTCGCCGTGGGTGTCACCCGGGCAGCCATCGAAGTAGTTGCGGTCGACGGAACAAAGTTGTTCGTCGTCGTAGCCACGCCGGGGTTGAAACTCCGAACCTCGGGATGTCCCGTGGTCGAGTTCAAATTAGCCGTGGCAGATGGAAGGATCGTGTTTCCAGAAGTATTCGTAAACACGATTCCGGATGAGCCAGCTAGTACCGAAGTAGGATTTGAAACTGGAACGTTTTCGATTTTTCTTTCGGCAACATTGCCAGTCGACGCATTCGAATCCGACACCGCCTCCTTGTTGCTTGGGAGCTCGAAAGCCACGTGTTTCGGCGATTTGATTCCAGAACTTGGAACGATGGCTGACGTAGAGATAGGTGTAGTATTCGCGTTCGTTGTAGTCGTTGAAGAATTCAAAGTGACGCAACTTGCTTGACACGGTGCGGACTTCACGGTGTTTACTTCTTCCGCCTGAATTACAACGTCCGGGTTAATTTTACTTGTCGCTGAAAGCACACGTAAAAGTTAAGATCCGGAACCGCTTCCCTAAGAGTCTGTAACTAAAACTTTGCATACCTTTGCCGGATATCGCGTCGAACATACTTTGAAGTCTTGCCTTCATGCTTGTCTGTCTCATGTCGGCTATATCCTCTTTCTTGATCTCTTCCACGTCGTCCGTAGTGAATTTCGCTCTAATGTTGCCCTGCTCCTCAACGAGCATTCTCAGTTTTTCATTTCTCTCCGGTTCCGCTCTCATGAACAATTTATTGGCCAATTTAGCCGATTCTACCGAGACGACCGTTCCTTGAACCGTCACTGCGGGTCGGGCTTCTCCGCTATACCGTTTCTCTTTATCGCGGGAATCCTTTTCTAAAGACCTTGAGCTAGGCTTTAAAATTCCCTTCAAAGGAGACAGTTTTCCCTCTACACGATCCAAAATGTTCCGGCCTTTCGGTTGTACATTTTCCATTGATTCGTTGTGTTCACGGTATTTGACGTTCGTGTTTTGTGCCTCTGCTAACGTTTGCGCGCTGAAATTCGCCACAGATTCCAGCGACTTGAAATGCTTTTCAAAGTCGGGCGTTCCGCATCGCGAAAGATCTCCTGCAAAACGAATCACGTGTACGAATTAAACAAAATAAAGAAAGAACACAATAAACGAAACGATTTTATACTTACTGGCCTTTCTTTTGATCCCGGAAGCTACGTTTTTACTGGAACTAAACGAATTTAAGATATCATAGCAAGACGGTGTCTTTGTCCGTTTCGCTGGTCTAACGGTTTTGTTTTGAGGCGAGATGTCTTCTTCCGACTTCGAGGACTCATCTCTACCTCTTTTCTGTTTGGTTTCGTCCTGCGTCTCGATTTCGTTCACGGAAATGCCGCCTGTGCGTTGCTTTTTTGCCAAATCGAAAGCAACGTCCTCTCTCTCGGCGTGTCTCTTCAACGACGTCTCTTTGAGTCCATAGGGGATACTTCCCGATCCAAGACCGTCGTCCACGTCGCATAAATTCGACAATATTTTGTGTTTTCCAGGCGGTGAATAACAAACGGTATCCGGCGGAGCTACTCTGACAATCACCGGTGTTCTTGTTTTCACGCATTTCGCGTTTATCAACGGAACAGGACTGCTCTGAAGATTTATTTTAGGACTCTGCCCCACGTGATACTGGGACTGACGATTCAATCTGTTGCTCGCTTCCGCGGCATACTTTGTTAGTCTAGTTGCGAGTCCTGGAGAAGTTACGTCACGATAAACTCTGCAATGTAAAGGACAAAACTTATAATCGTCTCCGATGTAAACAGAAAAGACAAAAAACAAAATTGGATCTACCTTGCATCGATGTTACACCTGCTAGAAGATAAAGGTGTGCTCGGCGACAGAGACGACTTGTTCGTTGTTGCACGGGCTTTTGGACTAATAGTAGTACCCCATGGAGATCCTTCCAAAGGATAATACGACGCTTCTTCCCCCTGTACTGAATTATCATACTGAGAATATACGGAGGATACTCTTTGGGATGAAGTTTCCTCGGACAATTGATTCTCAAACTCCTCCTTGTTTTGTGAGAATACTAGCGGCGTGCTAGCAAGCTTGGTTAGAGAATTGCGGGCATACGACGAATTAGATCGAACCATTTCGTTCATATTTGATTCGTGTACGTTTCTTGAAATCGGACTGAGTTGAGCTATAGGATCGAACTTGGACGAGTTCCTTCTAGTAGGATATGGATCGGTGCTGAGTTGGTAATGTGTTCCACGACGTCTTTCCATCCCGATTTTGGTTAGGTACACCTCGATAAAACGACGTTTCGCGGTCTCCCAAAATGTACGTGACCACCGATAAATTTGTTCGACGATAGTCTCGAAATGTGTACGAACTTCAAGAGCGACGTGCACACAATAATCGAAAAGAAAAGACGCGTGCGGCGACAATGAGCTGTCGTTTACGATCAAAGAATAGCACGCGTAAACAGTGAGGCAAAGCAGAATCGTCAGAACGAGAATCGGCCCCCAAACGTTGTACAGAAACACACACCCACTCAACACACTTGCTAACGCGGCGATACTCCGATATCCTAAATCCCACATATTATTTCAAACAAATAACCTCTCCATGTTTGAAAAGAGCACACTCACCGAATCACCGGAACTTTGCTGCGTTACGTCCAACGTCCAACGACATTATCGACGTAGCAACCAGCAACTACGTAACTCTAAATTGTATCGTTTTTCAAGTTTCGAACGATTCTTCGTATTTTCGTTGACAACGTTACAACGAAAAATTCGCGCTTGCTCAACGATTAAATGATGGCGAAGATACGTATTGTCACAAAATTCTTTTGAAGCATGATTCTACGATGCTTGATACGAATGATTCTATATACGAATCTCGCGCCTTTTCAGACGTCCCGTATTTCAACGTACATATTTGAACCATTTGAAGCGCCACCCTACGTTGTTTCGTGTACACACATGCATATGTACGATAAGCATCATGTTCAGATTTGCTATTTGAACAAAGTTTCGTTGTTAACAATCACGACAGCAACGTGTACATATATATGTAGCACATTTATCAGCAGCGTAACGACCGATTCGAACATACTGTTAAACGCAAATTTAAGAAAAGATTTAGACAACCGAAATATTTTGTTACGGTGTTCAAATTTTTATCGGTTGGCACAAATTTCGACGAAGAAAAATAAAAACTTTCGCTTTTGTGCCACCTAGCGTATTGCAAAATATAAAAATATGTACATATGCAAAACGATTTTATAAATTAAGGAGAAATTGTATGCAAAAGTTCTGATAGGAGGATACGCGAGGATAGAAAATGCATGTACGTAGAAGTGTGTGACACTTGATGGCACTGCATGGCTCGATTCGATGGTCCATTCGTTTCGGTGTTCATGTTGCCAATGCACGTGTGAGTTCCTCGTGGTATCGGTGACTATTAGTGGAAAGGAGGAAAGACACTCGTTTCTTCGATCAATAATACTCTTTTGAGATAAAGCTAACGCTATGTCGTGGCTTTTTGGATATCGTAACACCCAACCTCAAGACTTTTCACAATTTGTACAAGTGCCGGCGTCGGCTAATTCTGGTGGCGATAGCGATGGCTCTCATGCACAAACCACAAAGTCTCGAATGGAAGCTTACCGTTTTGATTCGAGTGCATTGGAAAGAGCAGCCGCAGCTGCCAAGGAACTCGAAAGATCCAGTATGTACGATTGATCTTTTCGAATTTTCTCTCCGATCGAAATCGTTGTGCAAGGTTACGTAAGCAGAAAATTATTCTATGGACGAGGTAGAAAGTTCGTTCTCGTGTTCCTTTAATGGCGCGATGCTTCAATCCGCGCGAGGCATTTACTAGACATCGATTCTAGTTGAACGAAATTCTCTCCTATGAAATTCTATACGATCGCTTGCCGTCCCAAACGTATAGAAGGAATGTGCACGATGCTAGAACAAAATCTTTTAAACGTAATCTTCTTTCAGAACATGCCAAAGAAGCTTTGGAACTGTCTAAACTACAAGAGTCGACCAAACAGGTTGAAATGCAAACGGAAATGAAGAAATACGAAGCTACTATAGAGCAGATGAAAGTGGATCAAAAGCGCATCGACGGCGAGGAAAGGAGGAAAACTATGCAGGAGGAAACCAAGCAGCATCAGATGAGAGCTCAGTATCAGGATCAACTGGCGAGGAAACGATACGACGATCAACTCATCCAACAGCAAAGGATGAACGACGAAAATTTGAAGAGGCAGGAGGAATCGGTTGCTAAACAGGAAGCTATGAGAAAAGCTACTATAGAACATGAAATGGATTTAAGACATAAGAATGAAATGAGAAAATTGGAGGCAGAGTTGAAAGCCAAAGCAAAGATCGACAGAGAAAATCAAGACTTGAACTTGGAACAGATCAGACTGAAAGCATCGGAAAAAAGAATCACCGTCTTGGAATCTATAAAGTAAGTGAGAACCATTTCTGATTATGTTGTAACGATAAAAAGCAATTAAAACGGTTGTTTCAGAACCGCTGGCTCGGTATTGGGATCCGGAGCGACGGCTCTTTTACAAGATTGGGACAAAATTATCGCTGCTGCTGGTGGATTATCGTTGCTAGCGTTCGGCGTGTACACTGCAAAAGGATCGACAGGCATCGCAGCGAAATACATCGAGTCTCGTTTAGGGAAGCCATCCTTGGTCCGAGAAACTTCCAGATTCACGGTACTAGACACGTTGCGACATCCTGTCCAAGCGGCGAAGAAATTGAAAAGTAAGCAGACGGACGCGTTATCCGGCGTTGTTTTAGCACCGAAGCTCGAAGAAAGACTACGCGATGTCGCGATAGCTACGAAAAACACGAAGCAAAATCGTGGAATGTATAGAAATATACTGATGCATGGTCCGCCTGGGACCGGTAAGACCATGTTCGCGAAGAAGTTGGCGGAACACTCCGGCATGGACTACGCGATCGTGACCGGCGGGGACCTGGCCCCGTTAGGTCGAGACGGTGTAACCGCTATTCATAAGGTTTTCGACTGGGCGACAACATCTAGACGAGGTCTGCTGCTTTTCATCGATGAAGCCGACGCGTTCTTACGGAAGCGTTCCAGCGAGCATATATCCGAAGATTTGAGAGCGATGTTGAACGCTTTTCTGTACAGAACCGGCGAGCAAAGCAACAAATTTATGTTGGTTCTCGCCTCGAATACTCCGGAACAATTCGATTGGGCCGTTAACGACAGATTGGACGAGATGGTAGAATTCCGTCTGCCGGGACCGGAAGAGCGCGAACGTCTAGTTCGTCTGTACTTTGATAAGTTTGTTCTTCAACCGGCGATCGAAGGTAATAAACGATTGAAAGTGGCGCAATTCGATTACGGCGCGCTTTGCAGTAGATTGGCCGTGATGACCGAAGGAATGTCTGGAAGGGAATTGGCGAAACTGGGTGTCGCCTGGCAAGCGGCAGCGTACGCCTCGGAGGATGGAGTTCTCACTGAACAAATGGTTGTTGACAGATGCGCGGATGCCATCAAACAACACAGACAAAAGGTACGTACCTACCTTGTTGTCCGAGTTGCTTTTGATAAAACTCGTTTTATTCTTCGCAGGTTCAATGGCAGAGCGAGCAAGAAAGACAAGAAGCAAAGTCAATTTATGCCGATGAAAAGGAATCAGTGGAACCGGTGACAAAGCCGAAACCTGTAATCGAACCCACAACACCTGAACATTCGGTCGCAACAGCTTAATCGACAAGCATAACTGCGCAAATAATTGCAAATCCTATTTTACTAAGAAACTAATTAGTACTAAGTGGAAATGAAAAAGGTACAAATTGCATTATCGAGGAAACGAATTTAATTGTACAGTCCTCGTTTTGTAAGCAAACCGCTCTAGTGTATAAATACTGTACAGGAATAGTGCATTTATTAGTAATCTGAACTTCTAGCCAAATTAAACTTTCAGTCATGCCTTTCTCTCTCTCTCTCTCTCTCTCTCTCTCTCTCTCTATCTATCTATCTATCTATCTATCTGCCTGTCTATCTTTCTTCTCGTGTATGATTACATATTCGCGATCTTCTGTCTCTCGCGTTACCGTATTAATAGGAAAACGTTTATAGGTTTGATAAGGCACAGTATCAGACTAATCGGAAAATTAGTTGTAACTACTTTAATTAAATACTTTGGTTATGTTTTGGTTTCGAATAATTCAACTTATACGGTTGTGTTTCCAAATGATCCATATAGAGATCGAACGTCACAGTGATTTCACTACTATATTTCAAACCTTTTCTATTGTATTCTCGAAAGGTTTAATAAATGTACAATTTTTGTTACTGTTATTTATTAAACACTTTGATTCATTGTTTGGTTAACAGACACTTTTTACAATATTACAACGGAATTTCTTTGAATCCTGATAGGTTAAATTAAAATATAATTAAGAAATAAGCAATTTCGCAAAAAATAAAAAAGATTGTTTAGGTATAATAGTAATAGTAGTTGGTAATTTCAGTTTCATAGAATCTCACAATTACCATTTTTCATAATATATCTATGCTAAATCAATCAACGTTAAAACAAACTACGCGTTGTGAACGTGTATTAGCTGTATTCAGTCGAAAGCGAGTTTTTCTTCAAATCTTAATGAAAAGAAAATACAAGTTTTCTTTATATACCTAATCGTTTTTCACAACTGGGCAGACAAAAAGCCGCAAAATAAACTATTAATACGATCAGAGACAAAGTACTAGGTACCGAGGTTCTATGGCTTGAGCATGCTTCTCCCTCCAGCACAATTCTATATGCGATTATAATGTCTTCGACTTAAAGAGGAAAGACTAAAATATATCGTACAAAGTGCTCGTTGAATTATAGTAGGTTCGTTTCGGTAGTGCCGTAAAATCATCAGTCTCTCGATGAAAAGACACTTTAAAGGCACAACATTACATACAGTCTACCAATTTCACTTTGGTCTATTATACTTGTCTTGGTCAGCCTGTTACATTTTTACAAAGAAAATGCTAAACCGTAGACGTTTCAATCTCTAACACGGAGTCCCCATATACTTGTTCTACGGACACCGACCGTCGGTCGCGCAACGGAACTATACAGAAACTTGTTCAGTTGAGTTTCGCCACAGCCAAGTTGTAAATTTTTCAGTATTTGTTCCGACATTAAACCAAAAATATCCAAATACAACAAAGAGGGCATGTACGATAACTTTTGGTAGGTCGAGGGCGGTATACCATAGCACCGACTCAACGATAAATGTTCTATTCTGGTTAACTCTAGTAAGTTACGGACGGTGTTCATTGTGAGCATCGTACAATCGCTCAGATCCAATTCCACTATATCCGGGCAACTTTTCACTAAATCCCTGATACCTGAAATAAACGTGCAACATTATTAGAATAGTTATGCGAATAATCAAGAATACCAATATTATGAAAAATTCTGTTTACTGTCGTCGGTCATCGTTTTCCTGCATCCAGCTATATTTAATCGTGTAACGGACGAAGGTAGCGATTTACAAAGTAACGTCATCGATTCCGTGTCTAAGCTGCACCAAGCCATATTAACAGCATTCAAGCTGAAAATTGTCCATACACGGATTAAACGGATTGAAAAATCGATCGGCGATGCGTCGATGAATTGGTTGTCTTACCGTTTAAGTTTCATTAAATTCCTGACACATTCAATGTCCATACCCTCGCACATCNGTACTAAGTGGAAATGAAAAAGGTACAAATTGCATTATCGAGGAAACGAATTTAATTGTACAGTCCTCGTTTTGTAAGCAAACCGCTCTAGTGTATAAATACTGTACAGGAATAGTGCATTTATTAGTAATCTGAACTTCTAGCCAAATTAAACTTTCAGTCATGCCTTTCTCTCTCTCTCTCTCTCTCTCTCTCTCTCTCTCTATCTATCTATCTATCTATCTATCTGCCTGTCTATCTTTCTTCTCGTGTATGATTACATATTCGCGATCTTCTGTCTCTCGCGTTACCGTATTAATAGGAAAACGTTTATAGGTTTGATAAGGCACAGTATCAGACTAATCGGAAAATTAGTTGTAACTACTTTAATTAAATACTTTGGTTATGTTTTGGTTTCGAATAATTCAACTTATACGGTTGTGTTTCCAAATGATCCATATAGAGATCGAACGTCACAGTGATTTCACTACTATATTTCAAACCTTTTCTATTGTATTCTCGAAAGGTTTAATAAATGTACAATTTTTGTTACTGTTATTTATTAAACACTTTGATTCATTGTTTGGTTAACAGACACTTTTTACAATATTACAACGGAATTTCTTTGAATCCTGATAGGTTAAATTAAAATATAATTAAGAAATAAGCAATTTCGCAAAAAATAAAAAAGATTGTTTAGGTATAATAGTAATAGTAGTTGGTAATTTCAGTTTCATAGAATCTCACAATTACCATTTTTCATAATATATCTATGCTAAATCAATCAACGTTAAAACAAACTACGCGTTGTGAACGTGTATTAGCTGTATTCAGTCGAAAGCGAGTTTTTCTTCAAATCTTAATGAAAAGAAAATACAAGTTTTCTTTATATACCTAATCGTTTTTCACAACTGGGCAGACAAAAAGCCGCAAAATAAACTATTAATACGATCAGAGACAAAGTACTAGGTACCGAGGTTCTATGGCTTGAGCATGCTTCTCCCTCCAGCACAATTCTATATGCGATTATAATGTCTTCGACTTAAAGAGGAAAGACTAAAATATATCGTACAAAGTGCTCGTTGAATTATAGTAGGTTCGTTTCGGTAGTGCCGTAAAATCATCAGTCTCTCGATGAAAAGACACTTTAAAGGCACAACATTACATACAGTCTACCAATTTCACTTTGGTCTATTATACTTGTCTTGGTCAGCCTGTTACATTTTTACAAAGAAAATGCTAAACCGTAGACGTTTCAATCTCTAACACGGAGTCCCCATATACTTGTTCTACGGACACCGACCGTCGGTCGCGCAACGGAACTATACAGAAACTTGTTCAGTTGAGTTTCGCCACAGCCAAGTTGTAAATTTTTCAGTATTTGTTCCGACATTAAACCAAAAATATCCAAATACAACAAAGAGGGCATGTACGATAACTTTTGGTAGGTCGAGGGCGGTATACCATAGCACCGACTCAACGATAAATGTTCTATTCTGGTTAACTCTAGTAAGTTACGGACGGTGTTCATTGTGAGCATCGTACAATCGCTCAGATCCAATTCCACTATATCCGGGCAACTTTTCACTAAATCCCTGATACCTGAAATAAACGTGCAACATTATTAGAATAGTTATGCGAATAATCAAGAATACCAATATTATGAAAAATTCTGTTTACTGTCGTCGGTCATCGTTTTCCTGCATCCAGCTATATTTAATCGTGTAACGGACGAAGGTAGCGATTTACAAAGTAACGTCATCGATTCCGTGTCTAAGCTGCACCAAGCCATATTAACAGCATTCAAGCTGAAAATTGTCCATACACGGATTAAACGGATTGAAAAATCGATCGGCGATGCGTCGATGAATTGGTTGTCTTACCGTTTAAGTTTCATTAAATTCCTGACACATTCAATGTCCATACCCTCGCACATCGTTAAATTCAAAGCTTCTAGATCACCGTTTTCACTAATAGCTTTGCAACACGATCTGTTTAATATACATTTTTCTAGCGATAATTTCTTTAAATGTTTACACCTGGCTAAGAGGATAGCCAGCCCACTCGGAGAAACGACTGCCATCGAAAGATCCAAATATTGTAATTTGCTGACATATCCATCGATGAGAACTTCGCTGTTTTCGAGGAACACCGGATCCGCGATTTCCGCTTGAGCAAGTCGAAGTATTTGCACGCCACGGGGTAGAATGTGCCCCAACGTGCCTTCGCTCAACACTTTACCACCTAAATCCAATCTGCTCCACAATGCTTCGTCCCGTGCTATTTGGCACCATCGTTTACACACTAACATAGAACGCACCTGAAACGATTCGATAAATATAAATAATCGTTATATCGTACGGTATCGTATCGCGCAACGAGAAAGCGGATTAAATCGCTGCTGAAAATTATACCAAACATTTCTTGGGAAGCCATTTCAAAATCATCAAAATCATTTCATCCGACAATTTGTTAAATTTATCTTCCCCAACGACGAAGGGCTTCTTTTTTCTTCGAGAGAGGTAGAATTGTTCGAGATTACACCTTTCGGAAGATGCGTTTAAACTGTTTTTACAGAAGGTTTCTTTCGCATCTACAAAATTGTCTATTTCTATCCTAGAAGAGTAACCAGATTCGTTTCCCATGGTCGAATAAGCGACCAGTTTGTCCAACTCGTACGAATCTTGTTCTAGTCTGAAAATAAAAATAGATAGCTATGGAAAATTCTAAAAGGACACGTTACATCGTACGATAAAACGTAACATTAAAGTCGCAGACCTATCGGCTACTCCGCCGGCTTTGAAACAGGTGTCTCCGTAAATATTTTCATCCAGGCGATAGTTGCCGTCTTTCCCATAGCATTTATCGGCAAGCGAATCGACGGGTGAAACAGAATGTTTCGACGACTGAGATATTTTTGTTCTGTCGCAAGATGCTTCGTCTTCCAGCATGCCAACACCCATGTCCGCCAAGATTTCTGGTTCCACCAGCGAGCCATCGCCCGAATAAGACCACCTCTCGTTGCTTACAGGTTTCTCGTTTAGAATGCCATTTAAATTGTTGTTGCAACCATCGTCCAAACGTAATATCTTGCTGGAATGTACATAAACGATGGAGATCCGATACAATGTACAATTTGTTGAAATACTACGCGAATATACTATTAAATACAAGAAAGCAATCTCTCCTGATGGGATTTCGAGGGAGATTCTCTTCCATAACAACGATAAAGTGGGCAGAGAGAAGATTTCTATGTTGAAAGTGCAAAAATCGATAAACAAATAATCCCGGTATCTCCGGGACTTTCGATATCGCTCGTGTATTTTTCATCGGCGAAAAAATAGAAAACTAACGAGCCTCGACTAAACGAGTCACCGTACAGTATTTGCCAAGAACGCGAACGCGTCCGATTAAAAATTCGAAGCGGACGTAAGCGATAATGGTAAAGGTTCTTAACCTTACCTGTACGCGCCAGACTATGCACCTGCATCGGGTTGTGCAACAGGTAAGAAACTCGCAACTGGTAATTACCAGGAGTTTCGAGATTCTTTTGTGACGGGAAAAAATCAAACAAAGAAATTTACCTTTCGGATGGTGAAAATTCTTCGGAATTTTCCAGGAAGTCCTCGTCGAACCTTGTGCTGTCCACCACGCCGGAATTCATTTTTGGCGGAATCCGTCTCGATGCTCCTTTTTCAATCGTCAATGGTCGCTCGCACAGAAAACAATCGCTAGTGGCGACGCTTCTAATCGCTCGAACTACATGCTTCGATTCGAGCATTTCCTCATCCTCGATTTCGATTGGCTGACCTCTCGAGGCTTTCTAAATGGCGGGAAACCAAGCGATCCAATAAACGCGCACTTGCGCGCGCGGGCTTTCTCCTCTCTCGCTTTACTATACTTCTACTAATTACAAATTGCAAATTACAAATTACAAATTACAAATTATAAATTGTAATTTAAATTAGAAATATACGATAGAAATATATTGTACCGAGTATAAAGTATCCGATTCGAATTCCTATTCCGTTTTGCATCGGTTTCCGACACATTATTCGTTCGAAAATCTAATCGAGAGAAGGAGATAGGTAATTATTACAGATTCGTTGCTATTATTATTATTATTATTATTATTATTATTATTATTAAACGTGGCAATTTCTCATATTTTCTCGTGTCAATGTTTCGGAACGGCGAGCCTTCGATCTTCGGCGTAAACTTTCATTTGAAAATGCACCAAATCCGAAGTTTTCTTGTGAAAGTTGAAACGAGAATCCTTTGGTTGTATTCCCTGTTCGTGCCACCATCCGTACCTGCGAGAAACAAAAAGAAGCAAGTCTCGGTCGCCCAACACGTTCGAAACAGATACGTTTGAACTTGAAATAACAATTCCGTGGACCGTGGCGCGTACGCGTATGCGTACAAGGTGCATGCAAGGTATACGAGGTGCATACGTATCGAATCTTAGGTTGCGTGATATGGAAATTATATTACGCGTGACTGGACAGCAATCGATACGGATAACAATTAAGATCCGTGGGTGATTTTTTCTCTCCGGGTGTAATATCGTCGAGCGTGCGGCTTTCGTTCGGATCGTTTGCACCGCCGCTTTCGCACTGTCTCGAATAGAATTTCGGCGCGATCGAGTCACCTGCAACGATCACGAGAATCACGGATAAAGGAACGTTTGTCCGTTTTGCGAACCAAAAGAAAATCATGTGCGTACAGTTCGTCTTGAGCGTACGAACGCTCGATTTACCGAGAATCTGATCCTTGGAGAAGCACAGCTTGAACGGTGGCTTTTCCGGCACCTTCCTGATCGTCGGCGAGTCCGAGTCGCGAGAACTGGTTCGATCCATGGGATCTGCTGGATCGCGCGTATTCCAGAGATTACACGTATACAGACACTGGATACGAGTACGATGTCGTGTCCTCGGGGGAGTACCGGTTTCGTCGAAGATCGACGGACGAAAGCGTCGCGCGAGTCGATCGCAACAAGCGTCAACTCGGGGATGGTACACATATTTGATCAATATTTTCCGACTACGCTGGAAATAAATACTACCGGAAAGAAGAAAAGGGGACCTACCATCGTTCCATCGTTGTCCTCTCGTAGCGCTCGCGGATAATATTAATTAGAAAAATGATAAAAAAATCGTTCTCGTTTCCATTTCTTGGAATCAGAAATAAGCGGTAATCGCAAATTTATTGCTCAAAAATTTCTCAATTAAATGCTATTTTATTAGGAAGCTTACACAGTTCTCGTAAGACTCGCAGAATCTTTAACACGAGAACAATGATGGCCCGCTGAATGTTCTCGATCGTATCGCAATATGGTTTTGTCATCTTCCGTGTTCTTAATCGCAGCCAAGCATACCTTGCAAGAGCCACAGATATTTCATCAGATCTTTTTTACGCAGAAATATGGAATTTGTATCGATGCCAGCCATTCGAAATGCATGCACTCCTCTCTCTCTCTCTCTCTCTCTCTCGCTTTTCTTACTCCTGATCCGTTCTCGCTCTTTTATTGCTCCCTTCTTCTCTTTCTTCGCTCCCCGCAAAGAAGAACTTTACAAGATTTCGCATCTTTTTCATGAAAAAAGATGAGCATCCGTCTCTTTTTGCAATTCCTAAGTTGGCCAGATATGCGGCTCGAACCGAATCATCCGAAGATACGGTAAAACGCGATAAAGATCAACCGATAGCGATGCATCGTATTTCCATATGAAAAAGAATGTAGTATGCGAGTTGCTTGTTTTGTGCCATTGTTTTCATAGAATGAAAACGAAAGAGTAGAAATGTAAAGTGAAGAAAAGAAAAGAAAAGAAAAGAAAAGAGAAGAAACAAATGCTGTTCACCGGATTGTGCGCGTACGACTCGTAGAATCGCGTTCGCAACTTCGTAGGACTCGTCGCAACGTCTGTGTAACGAAGTAACGGACGATTAGTTTCAGCGTTACGCGAACGGCATTCGAAATGGTGAGCGATCAATTTTATGAAAAGTACGAACGAGTGGTACGCGTGAAATCTGCAATTGCAACCGAGAATTTTGACTTCGAAGGAAAATATCTCGTACACCGTTGTCGACGAATATCGCGTACAATCCGATGCGAATGAATGTTCGCTTCTACGCTTTCCTCCCCGGATATTCGACCGTACCGTGCGCAAACGTTTGTTCATTTTCAAGAGGAAAGATTCGTCGGTATGTAGCACAGCGGTTTCTTGGTTCGAAACCTGACGAATCTATTAGAAACATGTTTCGCTTAAACGCCTAGCATCGTTGTTCTCGTACGAGAACAAATTCGCATTTCGCGTACATCGTTCGTCGTTCTCTCTCTCTCTCTCTCTCTCTCTCTCTCAGTCTCTCTATCTCGCTCTTCTCCTACGCGCACGCACACGCGAGTACGCGCGAACTCTCAAACTCGCATACTCGCACGATTCTCATACTCTCGTACTCTCATACTCGCGCAATTCTCATTTTCACGGCTCATTTTCGTATCGACATGCAAACAGGCCACCGTTCTTAACTTTGTATTTTTTTTCGTCTTTCTACTCTGTCTATCCGAGTGTCCGTGCGTCGTTCAATTTGTCCCTGGTACGCGTAATACACATTCAACGACGCGCACGCAAATATTACGATTATAGAACTATGTTATGGCCGTAGATTTCTCATCTGCGTTCTGGCTTTTCATTTTTAGTAAATTATAGGGTTTTTCTTATTACCGTTCGTCCTTTGGTTTACCAATTTTCACGCGTTAGTCGGTACTAGACCTTCTTCTCTATGTATGCGCCGCGTACGCCGAGCCGGCGTTCGTCGCGAGAGTAACCGTTCGCGTCGTTATCGGCAATGCTCGAACAAAGTTTTACAAAGTGGTAGCACGCGAACCGCGAAGAACCGATGATCGACCGTCTTTTCGTCCAAAAAGCTTCTACGCGAGAATCCATCGAATTCCAAAAGAAAGATAAATAACGAAAAGGCAAAAAAAAGGAAGAGAAAAAAGGAGGAGACGAAAGAAGCGGTAGCGAACGCGACGACGATGGTAGTATCGTTTCTCGGATCTTACGAAAACAAGACCGATAAATATCGTGCGGCGTGTTAATTTAGTTTTCGCACTCTACTTCGTACGCGTGTATCGTAAAAATAAAACGGCTGGTTTCAACGACTTCGAAAGATTCGTAGACTCGGACGAATCGAACGGTCGAAAATTCGTCGTCGCGTCTCGATTACACTGTGTTCGGTATCGTTTCGTTTCGTTTCGTTTAGTTTAGTTTAGTTTCATTCTGTCCGACATAGTACGGAGTCTAGAGTAAATGGTTTTCCCTTCGAAAAGATCGATGGTTGGCGAGAGGAAAATTATAACGCGCGCCATGGACGACCGTCGCCACAGAATAAACGTTTTCCAGGACTACGTCGAAAGAAGGAAGAACACCGAGCATCGACCAGTGACTTTCGGCAGGCTTCGACTTGGAGCGTGTACACACCTGCTGCGTTATCCTAAAATCTATCCGTAACCTTCGTAGGTTTTCCCGAACGCGATAAATCTGCGATTAACAAATCGAATTTACGCGGCTCGATAGAACTCCCCTGAGTAAAAAATGCCCGTCTCACAGCGCGGACCAACAACGCGCAAAACTTGAAACTCGAAACTCGAAACTCGAAACTCGAAACTCGAAACTCGAAACCGATCGACTTTCGAAAAATTTGGAACAATTTCGAAAACCAGAATTGCTTGCCAAACGAATACAGCGGCGGAACGAGAGGTTCGTTCAACCGGAGAAAATGATCGAGGCAAGATCGATGTTGGTTGAAAAGCAGCAACTCGCGGAGGCACTCGAGCAACGAGGCTGCGACTGTGAGAGCGGGTAGACGATAAAACGATGTTTTATCGATAAAATTCTAGAAAAATACGTAACGGTAATTAATTGATAATTTCGTATAATCTATGTTTGCCGGGAATACTTCTCGCTAACATTTTTGCGTTCTCTTCTCTTTCAAACGTTCCGATCGTTTTTATCTCATCTAACTCTTCCCTCCCACCCCCTCCTTCTTTTCTCTTCGCGTCTATTCGTCTTTCTTCCCAACACCTTTCCCTCACGCTCGCATCTACACCCTTACGACGCAGGTACACTTTTTTCTGTAATGTTTGTTTTTTCACCTTTTTTTGGGCTTTTCGTATTTTCTTTAAACTAATCTTTAATCTTCCTTACGTGCTAAACTTCCTACAAAGATACTTAAAAGACATTTACAAAAGAAATGGCCGTAATTATCACCCCTATTGTTCTCTCTCGATGCAAAACTCGTTCGTTCCTTTCTCGGACACGATACTCGCGACGTTTTCGAACTTACAGTCTACTACATCCTTAGATTCCTACTGAGCAAACTATTCGTAACATGCACCAAAGAACGCGTTTGTATTATTTGTCTGATTTGTCGGCGCTACTCGCTATTTCTGGTGTTCTCGCGAATCCGTCGGGTTTCGAGCATGCGCCCTATCAATTACGTTCGCGAGACAAGAGAAATTCGGACCGTCTTCGAAATCTCGCGAAAACTACAAGATATAATGCGAACATACTCTTCTCTCGCGATCGTCGATATACTCGTATCCGTCGTGTCCGCCAAATAATCTATGATTTAACCGAAACGTATTCGCGATTGTTCGTTCGTTAACTCGCTTACTCGCGTAACTTACCGCGACCCTCGTGTAAGAAGTTGTTCGGTTCGCGCAGATTTTTTCAAATGAAATCAAATTCGTAATCTCGATCTCGATCTCGAAATGTTTGCGCGAGCGTGGTGCAGATCGTGGATAGGAAGCATTGCACGAGGGTCGAACGAGGGTGGAACACAACCCGAATAAACGCATCCAACGACGCAGGTGGAAAGTTGGATGCCCTGGCAGGCACGACGGACAACGAAGCCAAACCATTGTTATCGTAGCGATCGCGATCGTCGTCGTCGTCGTCGTCGTCGTCGTCGGTCGCGTCGACGTACCGTTACACAGCAGGATGGTTCCAGTCGCGGGTCGTAGTCTGTGTTCAAGTGTTCTCGCGTGTCGTTAAACCAGCCTGATCGTACAAGATCGGAGATACGCGGAGTCGTGCGAACCTTGTCGCTATCAATGATAAACCGTCGATGGATAAAATCGCTGCTGCACGCTTTCGTATTCCTATACGCAAACGTGTAAATACGAACGTTATTTGTAGCGTTACCAAGAAAGGAGGCGTAACCGCACGGAGATGGAAAGACGGTCGGTCGCGTCGATGTCGTCGGTGTCGTCGGCGTCGTCGGTTTCGTCGGTCGTGTTCAGCCACTTGGAGACGCGATCGCAGCCGCTTTGTTGGTTTGTCGTACGAGCAGATCGGAACGCGCCTTGAGACGTCGCTGCATCAGCCGGCTCTCGCTGGGCGGTGATAAACCGAACAGCTGATGCAGCGACGAATCCTTTCCGATCAAACGATTCTTGCCGATGGTCTTCGGATCGGAAAGATCGATGCTCGAACGAATCGAGCAACACTCCCGCCGATGCACGTTGTTCCCCTCGAACTCGCCGGAAGAATGGGTGGCGCAATGTTTGCCGTGCTCGGACAGCTCGCTGCTCGAATCGGACATGTGCCCGTACGGATGATTATCTTCGTCGGTGGAGGAGGTCGACAATCTCGGCTCCCTGTTTTCCGTCAATTCCTCCAGATTCACGGAAAAGTGTTGAAGTACCACGCGATTCACAGCCATTGCCGATTCGGCAAACGTCGAAAGTTCTCTCGCAGAATTGTTCCTCCTAAACGAGAACCGAGCAATATTTCATTATTTCCATCGTCTACGATACGCGTACGATATATACACGGGTGTACCCCGGGTGTGTTCACGAACCTGATGATGTGAGGAGTCGTGAGAGATTTCTCGGTGTTATCGACCGAACTGGGGCCCGGATTGATCCACGGATGTTTCAGAATGGATTCGGCGCTCAGCCTCTGATGAGCTTCCTTGACCAGTAGGCCTCTGATCAGATCTTTCGCGTCCTCGGAAATGCATCTCCACTCGTTGTCCGGAAACTCGTACCTACCCTCTTGAATACTGGTGAACAACAGCTCTTGGCACGCCTGACAGTTCTCTCCCCTCTCCCAGCCGCAGTCGGTACCGCAATTCCCGTAGAACGGTGGATAGCCGCACAAAAGGATGTACATGATCACGCCGAGGCTCCAAAGATCGCAACGTTTATCGTAATAATTCGCTTCGCCGATGAAAGCTTCGACCACCTCCGGGGCCATGAAGTCCGCGCTTCCCACCGGCGTCAAAAGCTGCGGCGTCGCCACAGGACTGGACAGCGAGTTGTTGAACTTGATGCCGGAACCGAGATCGAAGTCGCAGACCTTGATCGGCGTCAGCTTGTCGGGACACACGCACAATATGTTCTCGGGCTTTAGGTCCCTGTGGGCGATTCCTGTAAAGGACGAGACCGTTTTATTTATCCGTTTCTCCTTTCGTCGAAGCCAGAAACGAGAAGAAGAGCGAGAACGAGACCAAGAGCAACGCGAAACAAGCGATTACCATATAATGTACCTTTTTTGTGAAGAAAATTTAACGCGCTGGCTATCTCTTTGATTATCTGACTCGCTTCCCACTCGCTGAAGTGGATCCTTTCTTGGATACGGCTCAACAATTGACCTCCGTTGACCTTCTCGAATACAAGATAAAATTTCTCTTCGTCCTCGAAGAACTCGATCATTTGTATGATGTTCGGATGCCCCTGACAATGATGGAACGTTTCGACCTCTTTGAATACGCGCGTCCGCGCGTGACCAGGTATTTTGTCTATTATTTTCACCGCATACTCCAGATCCGTGTAGAGGGATCTGCACGTCTGTACCGAGGCGTAAGCACCCTCTCCAAGAACCTCGCCGGTCAATTTGTACAGTTCTGCAAAAAGGACGGAACAAGGTGAACACATTGGTAGATTCGATTCGATACGAGTTACATGTTCCACGCACCCTCCGTCGTCTTTGAATCGATAGAAATTTTATACGACGAATTCGAGACGAATCGCGAGAGTTGGATTTTGTCGTCGGTCCGGGGGGGGGGGGGGGCAA